AGGGGGGAGAGAGAAGGGAGAAACAGAAGGGAGATAGGGAGCCCCGGTGGAGTGGAAAAAGGAAAATAAAACAAAAACACAAAAAAAAAGGCAACCTGATAGTCACTATACAATCGTCTCGTTGAGCAACCTGTTCGAGACAAGCTGTTCGTCCCGCCGGATACTTTCCGTGACATCAATGTGAATAACAGCACCAGGCTCGATAACGGGCCGCACCTTCACGTTGTAGCGTCCCCGCTTTTCGATCTGTGTGCACTCTGGGGCAAACGTTGCTGCAAAGACCTTGAAGATGCCCAGGCACTCAAAGTAGCCTGCAACCGACTCCGCCGGGGTGGCCACAATACGCTCTAACTGACTGAATAGTAAGTCGCTGGAAGACCCTTCACCAGCGTTTCCGTTACTTGTGTAACTACGCGTCGAGGTGACGCTGGCGTCACTCGTTCCGATCTTCATAAGGTCCATGTAGCTGCCTGCCTTCTTCTGAATTCCGGGCCATGCGGAGATACGCAACTTCACGCAATTAAATCTGGCACGCTCGTACGAGTGAACGGAATGCATTGAAGGAAAAGTAATGCGCCTCCTCTGTTGTAAAACATTTCTGAAGTGCGTTGTACACAGAGGTCAATAAGTTAACAATAACAGTCTTGTGTGCCATGTTGGTGAAAGGTGGGCTCACGAAGGAGCTGTAGCTACTCTCCTTAGGTAGCATCCACTCAAAGATATGCACCGCATCCTCCAAGACTCGTCCATTACTAAGAATCTTGGAAAACATACGACAGGCAATGCGGACACAAGCTACAATAACATCAGGACTGTCCTCTACAGTAGGGGTCAAACATATTCCTATTTCAGGATTAATATTAGCGCTGCTTTGCCGCTCTTTACTCGCTGCAGCGCTGTAAGACGCAATAAAATTCTTCAACAGTCCAGGAACCTGACTGTACGCCTCAGACCACTTTCCTTGAGTCACACACTCGACCCAGTGGTGCGCTGCCCATGCCTTCGAACGACAGCTATCAGAGCAATATAAAACTCCGCATTGACCATTGCATTGCACAATTTTGTGTTCACTGTAAAACTTTTTAAGAGTATGCGGCTCAACTTCAGGCAGGCTCTTGCAAAACTCCTCAATACTCGTAAGTGGTCGGAAGCACTGACAACAAACGTGTGGTATACTTTCCTTATTCTGATCCCCATGAACACGATGGTCGCCACTGCAAGCCAAATTCCCATGATGCCTCAGTAGAAACACCGCAGCAGATGATTCCACCCACGCCAATTCGCCGGGTCGCATGTCCTTCTTTGCCAGAAGAACGACATTCAGCGTTTTGCGGTCTAAGGCAATAGATGCTGCTTTTCGATGCTCATATTTGGAGGCGTACAGCATCATAACATTGTTACTCAGCAACAGATAGTTAAGTGTCTCGTTGCTTGGGTCAAGCGCGAGCGCCTTCTCGTAGTATGTGCGTGCCTCTTCGTAGCGTTTCATTCCGCGCAGTGTATTTCCAGCACGCACGTATCCAACAAAATTCTGAGGTTGTAACTCTATTGCACGTGTGGCATCAAGAAAGGCAGCCTCTACATTGCGTAATCCAAGAAACGCTACAGAACGGTTTGATAAACATCTTGCCCCTCCATCAGGGCTATACTTGATTGCCTTTGTATAGTAGCGTACCGCATCCCTGTAATTCTCTTTAAGCATAGCGTCATGCGCCTTCCTGATAGCGTAGTTATATTTACAACGCACCACATCACCTTTCTTTGTGAGAGGTATCTCTGACTCGGCGTCTTTATCTCTGCTACGCACAAGTCGGGGAGATTCATCAGGTGAAATGCATTGGCTACCCCACGTATTTGCTCTCTGTGGATCTTTTTCACGGAGAGACGTCCCTGTGGGCACAATACCCTCTGCTTCATGCCCCACATCCTTGGTGTTGGGGTATAATTCAAAGAGATCACTATCACTAGGGTCTCGCGTATTGACACCAATTGGACTCATACGACCCTCCACAGGATTGCTTGGGATGTACTTCCTAAAGCGCACCTTAGGCTCACTGAGGCAAGCACGGTACAAGGTGCAACCAACAACTAAATCCTGTCCAATTTCACACATAACAAACGTGTAGTCGCCTTGATGACGCACAACTCGCACGGAGCGCCGGCATTGCCCAAATAATTCGTCCATAAAGGGCTCCCATAGCTCGGCTGTTTGCGCTGTCTTCGCGGGACCAATGTCAACAAGCTCCACCTCGCATCCAATCGGGTAGTCTTCAATAGATGGTGGTGGCGGCCGATCCTCCGAGTCGAACGCCTCAAATGAAGGAAGCTCAAAAAACTCACAATCACTCATGGACGACAGCCCTCACCGAAACAAACCCCGTGAAGCCCCGCCACTTCTGCTACTCCTCCAAGGGCAATCCACTCTCTCTATGGCCCTTTTGTTTTCTTTTTCTCGGTCTTTCGCCTGCCCACTTTACTGTTTATCTTTTTCTCCTCCTCCTTGTTTGCTTGCCCTTTCTGTTAAGGTTTGCCTTGTCTGTTGTTATTCCGTCGCCCCCTCCTTCTCACCCTGTTGTTGTTTTACAGACAGGATGAGATGCGCCTTGGATGAAGGTGGGGAGCCTCCACCCCTTGCGGGCAGCAAAGCAACGCTGTTAGCCGGTTGTACGACCAGCAATGGATGGAAGGCAGTAGTGACACACGTGTGGGTGCGTGTGTCACGAGAGACAGACAATATCCGCCTGGCTGAGGCCTTTCCCCTATTCCTTCAAAGAATAAAAAAAGTGAAAAATAGACAAGGTGCGTGTATATATATATATATATATATATATATATTAAAGCAATAGCATGCAGGGGAATCAGCGCAAGACACACGAGCAAGCCACCCCTTCGCGGAGGGGGAAAGAAAAGGGGAGGAAGACGGCAATAAATAATAACAATCAAACCAACGAAACTAAGCACAATGCTTTAACGCCAGAGAAAGAAAGGCAGTGAAAGAGTGAGAGTGAGAGAGAGAAAGAGAGAAAGAAAGAAAGTGGACACTTCACTGAGATAAAACACACACACCTCCACAGCCATCATCGTCAATTTAAATGCCCACGCCTCACCGTTTCAGTCCTTACGCGCACACCTCTTCAACCTCACATCCATCTCTATCTCCACTCCCACTCTCACTCTCACTTCTCCATAAGAGGCGGCGACATACTCAGCAGACCTGTAGAATACTCGCCGGCCGTCGATTTTCCCGCAACTTCCCCCCTCCCACCCATCAACTCCATCACAGAGAGGCATGTGCTTGTTAACTGGTCGTGGCCGTACGTAAAAAAATGATTTTCATGCCTTTCCCAAAGTCCATCACAATTTGTGTTCAGATAATAAACTGCGCTGCACGAAACAACAGCGCAGAGAAGTAGTTTATCCCCAACATCCTTACAACACGGCCGCCAAACGTGGTGTAACTGGTGAGACACCCCCGCCAGCGTAGTACGACGCCGCAAAGGTCAAGGAGGGAGACAAAGCGAACACTCGCCAGCCGCGAGCGCGGATGCGGCTCTCATGGGATTGCTGCCAACACGCAGCACACTCGCTTAGCGTCACTGCCCACCAAGTAAAGTAGACAAGCCTGCACACGGCAGAGATGACGACGCCGCCGTAGTCCTCCCGCTCCAGATACTTCACAGTGTAGCGCGATACCATTAGTTCACAGAGAAGTACGACTCGCAAAACCTAGCAGCCGTCCCTAATGGGAACTCCGGACAAAAAAAAAAACATCAACAAACGAGCACGGCAAAGAACAACAAAGACCACTGAGCCTCTAAAAGGTCACAGGCTCGGTAGCGCTGGTATGTCTTGTACATCTCTTGCAGAATACGCTGGGCTCCACCGCGGCGGAATATAGTCCAGTCAAACACCTTGTGAACATGATGCAACAGACACCAGGAGGTAATCATAAGCGAACCTGCTAGACCCAAAACAATCTAGCAAGCCACAACCCGCTTATCACACTCCTGCCCCTCCAACACGCCGTCGAGCGCGACACGCAGAACTTCTATGGCCTGCGTCGCCGCCATGCAATATATAAACAGATTTTCCTGTTTAAGTCCAAAAAACAACAACCAAAGGCCATTACCAAAGCATGCACTCAGCATCACAACAACACCATAGTGCTCATCGTTACATTGGCGCTAGTGGGGCATTGACTGCCTGTATCTAAGAGGGGTAATCTCATGCTCGCTAAGGCATTCACATCAAAGGCCTTTACTGTCGACGACAAGGCACCCTACGTCCATGTGAATGCGAGGCGCACCAAACACAAACAAGGAAAAAAAAAATAACAACCTGTAAAGCAAAAAAACAATAATAATAATAATAATACGACAAATAAGGACATGTCATTGGTGCCGTAGAAGCAGGAAAGATAGTTGGATGGGTGGGAAAACGAAGTAAAGAACCGCGGGGACATCACACTACTAAGCGGCATAATTGGGTTCTTCTATTCCCCCCCCCCACACACCACACCACCATTTCTTCCTCCCCTCTCATCTGCATCTACGTTTACCCTTCCTACTCTGTAAACATTTCATCAAAAATGCGTGTCATCCGCATGACGTCCTCATTCCTGATACATGGGTCTTTCAGAAGGGCTGAAAATGTATTGGCAATATCTTCCCAACTACGCGTCCGTGAGGCCTCCACTGCGGTCGCAATGCGTGGAACCTGCTCTATGGTTAGAGTTCGTTTGAGCTTTGCATCCGTGTCACTGGGCGGCTGCATGAAGGAAAGCTCCTCCAAAGCTCGCTGCACACTGGCTAGTGCGGGCATTTGGTCAAGAAGAGTGTCATTGAGAAAGCGTCGAATGCGAAGAATAAGCTCCTTCTTGCTCTGCGTGTACGGATACCGCCGGCGACACTCAGGGTCGCACAACATCTTGTGCAGAGAAAACCAAGTGTGTGCCTCGGGGATACACACAAGCAGTGCCTCTTCTTGTGAGACATCCTTAAATTCTCCATTGCAATACTTCTGCGTCACCCCTGGACCGCGGCGTAGCCAGGGCTGCAGAAGCATTATCTCCGATAGGCCTAGCACAAGATCATGCTTATTGAACACTGCATTAGACACTGAAAGAGGCAACTGCTCCAGTCTATCAATGATAAACCAAAGAATCGACAAGGAGGTCATGGCACGCTGCACCATACCATGGGATAGCTGTCGTTCCAAATGCTGCCGTGAATCCTCCTCGCCCATTTGTTGCGGGGTGAGTTTGGTTGGAACCTCGTTGATCCCACTTTCCGCAAAGAGCCGGGAGACCTGTCGCCAGCAATAATCCACAAGCTCCAAAACATCGTCGCCAAGGGCCACCACCACCTCTTCGTGGAAGGAAATACATTCAAATAAATTTGCCAAAACCATTTCATAGTAGGGAAACATGTAGTACGCTGTGGGGTTCCCTGCCACTGAGTCCTTCACTAACGGCAGCACACGATGCCGCCACATTTCCATCACCAGTAACTCATGCAACAATACCGGAAGCTTTTCATGCTCCACAAGAAATGCCTTCACGGCATCGTCCTTCTTCAGCACGGCGTTACTGTGTGAACACATGTTAAGTCGTTCCACCCTCTCACGTTCATCCTTCCACTCTGCCGTGCCAACCTGTTCGATTGAGAGCGGCTTCAGTTGCTGCACCATAATCTCCACGTCGGAGACGGAGAGAGTGCTGCCGGAAAACTCCATAGTTTTGTCGCACCCGTTGGCCGTCTTTGCACGCGCACAAAAGCGTGGATAGCCGAAAGTAACACAATAACACAACGTCTCTTTTTGTTTTTGTAAAACACAGACACAAAAAAAAAAAACGGATCGCAGAGAGAAACAGAGGAACAGATGTGAAAAAAGAGAAGAAGCGGCCAAACTATAAACCGTCAACATCAACGGCAAGGCATTAGTCATAAGAGCAAAATTTCATGGTATTCCAATCAGTTCAGGGTATCTAAGGGAGAGATGTCATCATAATAATCAAGACAACAATGTAATTAGTGTGTGTATGGGGGGCTCTTTCATTCCTTCTACACAACTTTGGCAGCCCAAGTTGAACGTATTTGCATCTGTTGAAATCATCTAGAAAACTCACTCGTCATTCCTCAGCCACGGCGACTACACGAAAAAGAGAAGAAACCTGTCTTTCTCCGTACCTTCGTTGCATTCATCGCACGTACAATAAAGAGAGCATGTGTGGCTGCGGGGGTGTGCAGGGAGAACGACGTTGCACAACCCGTCAAACGTCACTTTTGTCCCATTTGTGCTTCATTCCTTTTTTCTTCTTCTACTTCTATTTTATTCCCATTCTCGCCAATGTATTTGTATCAATTTGTTTTCTATTCTTCCACACGTAATTACATACCCCTTGCTGGCTCTCTTTCCTCGCCTCACGACAATACACTGCAAACACAAAAGTCGCTTGTGAAACTTTTTGTTTAGTTCCCTTGTCCACTCGTAGCCTCCGCGGTGGAGCGCACGCGCTTCCCCGTGGGTGGTTGAATGCCGTTGGGGAGGTAGTAATATTTGAGCAGGAAGGGGTGGCTAACCACGCGGTGCAACGCAAGACGCTTGCTCCCGTCACGCAGCAAGAGGCTCGAAATAAGGTCCTTCGCCTCCGGTGGTACAGTTCCGGGTATCACGTACTGCATGGCGTGAATCTTCTTGCAGATGTTTTCTGTGCCTTTGCTGACAAATGGCGTCTTCCCCACAAGCAGCTCGTAGCAAAAAATGCCAAGACACCACAAGTCCGCGCTTGCGTCATACGGCTGACGTCCAATAATTTCAGGTGGGAAATACTCCGGTGTGCCACACGACGTCTTGCGGCGGTTCTGGGGGTCGTGAACGGACCACCCAAAGTCCGCTAATTTGATGTTTTGGTTATGATCGAGCAGAATGTTTTCCGGTTTGATGTCACGGTGAAGAATGTGGTGCTGGTGCAGATAGAGGAGTGCCTCGGCTAACTGTGCGACGTAGCGGGCTGCGGTTGGCGGGGGAAAGCACTTCACCCGATTCAGCTCCGTGTAGAGCATACCGTTGCTGCAGGGCTCTAAGATAAGGTAGATGTCTGTGTCGTCGAAGAAGTACGCGTACGTGCGCAAAAGATACTTGTGACGGGTGTGAAAGGCGATCTCAATCTCACGACGGAGCTGCATGACAATGTCGAACTCGACAAGCTTCTTGATAGAAAGCTTCTTGATGGCGCACACAAAGTTGCAGTCCCGCACGGAGGCCAAGTAAACGTCCCCGTAGTTGCCCCCTCCCAACTTGTGCAGCAGCTCAAAGTCGGACGCCTTCCACTCCGACCGGGGGGCCTTTGGGAGCGCAATGTAATCCGCCACGACTTGCCCGCCCTCGGCCGCCTTCATCCCCTCGTGCCACACGCAAGCAAACCAAGTGCTAAAAAAAAAAAAAAAAGAATGACAACAAGCACAGTGACGGAACGCTTCTTCAGGTCTGTCACACCAACGTTTTCAAACTTCGCCCCCTTCCTTTCTATGGTCCCTCGCTCTCTCCCTCTGTGTGGGTGGGTGTGCCATCCGCCCTCCCCTTGCAAGGCGTCATCTTAGTGTCCAATATAATATGAATAATAAATATATATATTATATTTGAAATCACTTGCTTCTTGTCTCCCAATGCAGATATGTAGGTGTTGCTGGGCAGCGGCGTCGTTCTACGCCGCAAACAGTTGCTCAAAGGTGCGTTCCTCAATGACAGAGAAGGCGCCTTCCCTGTCCTTATGAATGTAGTAAAACGTGTCCAGCGCCAGCCCACCGAGAGCCCTCACAAACTGCTCGTCGTGTGTGATGACAATCAACTGGAAGTGCTTCACGGCGCGGTGGTTGTCGATAAGTAGACGCAGTGACTCTGCAAGCGAACGGGCATTGTCTTCGTCAAGGTTTGTCGTCGGTTCATCTAGGGCAAGGATGCCACAGTCACAGCAAAACGCCTCACTCAGTGCAAGGCGAATAAGGACGGAGGCCAACACCTTTTGGCCGGCGCTGCACCGTCCACGCATGTCCATTTCACTGCTCCCACGTTTCATCACGACGCGGTAACTGTAGCTGCGCCGCGCCGTCGTCGAAGTCACATCATCCTCGGAACGAAGTTCAACGGTGTCAATGTCACTTCCCTTATACGTCAGCCGCCAGAGGTCGGCCAAAATCTGATTGATCTGTGCAATCTTCTCCTGGTGATACGACTGCACGGCCTTCTCCAAGGCCCTGTAGTACTTATCAATATCCGCAACAGCAATCTCCGTCGTTTGCACCTTTAGGAACGTCGATCGGTACCGTTTCTCAATGTCACTATACTTTTCACGTGCCAGTTGACTCTTGAGGTTCGCTACGTCTTGTACCATTGCCTCTACGTTTCCCTCCTGCTGTGCACGAAACTTCTCCAACTCGCCCACCTTTTGGCGGATGAGCTCCCGAATGCGTGGCACCGTTTCACGTGCAATAATGTCTTTCCCCAAAAGTGACTCAACTCCGTGAATCTGTCGGCGCTTCAACTCGGTGAGGGACTGCTCAACCTCCCGCAGCCGTGCCTGATCCTCCTCCATCCATCGTCGCTTCTCATAGATCTCAATGTGCTTCTCCACCTCCGCCGCCTGCCGGTGTTGGTCATCCAACACACGTCTCGACTCGTGAACTGCGTTACGCAGCTGCTTCACCTCCTCGGCAGCTGTTAGAGTTGCTGCCTCTGCCACACTCAACTGATCCCGTGCGCTAGCCAGTTGGTGTCCATGCCTCGACGCAAAATAGTCGCGCATTTGGGGCAAAATCACTGCAAGCATTCGCCCAGAGGTCTCTAATTTCCCAATGCGACTCTGTTGCGAAGCACATTCGGCCTCTCGACGCTCCTGTTGAAGGTCACAAAGCCGACTCTGAAGACGCGTGAGCTCCGCTCGAAGGTCCTCTTGCCCATTGTTAATGGCAGCAATACGTTCCTTGTAGCCGTTGGCCTCAGCTTTGTATCGTGCAAGCACCTCCTCCAGCTCACCCTGTCGTGTCAACTTCATATCCAACTGATAGTACTCTGCCCGTCTCGCGTTGAGCTCACTGACGGCTGCCTGGTCTGACTCCCCATCCTCGCGCCGCTGGGCCTCATTCAGCATTGTATTAAGACGATAAAGCTCCGTATTGGCGCTTTCATATTCCGCTGAAACCTCTTCGTATGTTCTAGGGGCCCCACTACCAATATCACCAACAGCAGCTGCTGCAGTCACCGCTTCCGCCTGCAGTTCTTGTATAGCAGCTTCCCTGCGGGAAAGTTGTTGCTTCAATGCCCGGATGTCACTGGCGACAGCGTTTAAATCAGTGACGGTATGCACCAAGTCCTGCACACACTTCATCTGACTCTCAACATCATCCCGCTTCCGCTCCACATCCTCCAGCAAGGCAGACTTGTTCGCCAGCTCCTGATTAATAGACGTCAGTAGCTGCTCCAGTTGTGGAACGCTCACCAACAGTCGTCTCACATCATGCATATCTGCCTCAAGACTCTCTAAACGACGTACCTTTTCTTCGGCCTCCGTCATCTCCAACTGTGCCTTTGCAACCATCTCTGGCGATGCCTCGTGATGTCTCTCGTGGAGCTCCATAAAGTGGGCTCGCTCCATGCCGTCATTAAACCCACGGTCACACACAGGGCACCTGCCCTCTACCCTAGCCACCTCCACAAAATTGGCGTAGCATGTTGCCATCGCCTCAAGTGCATGACGCCTGCTTCTCGCCTTACGCAAGTAATCACGAGCCTCATCAAGGACGGCTTCGAACTGATCAATTTCACTCAAACCACCAAGCGCCTTAACGCAGATGGCATGTTTCCGCTGCAATGCCACCTTTTCCTGCATAAGCTCCTCCATTCGGTGTGACTGCTTCTGTTGCAGTACGGCTACTTGACGGTCGATCTCCCCATGCTCTGCCTGAATAGCTCGCAGTGCACCCAGCTTTTGCTCCCTGAGCTGCTCAACCAAGAGCGACAGCTGCGACAAGGAGCGGCCCTCACCTACCTCGTGCCCAAACCTAGATAGCTGCGGTACAAGTGTCTCTTGCAGCCCCTCTTCAAGAAACCTTTCCTTCTCTGCAATTTGTGTCCGAAGCAGATTCATCTCCGCCTCACCACCCAAGCACTCCTTCTGCTTCGACAACTCTTGACGCAGCACTGCGACAACACAGTTTTGTGCATTTATCTTCTCCAAAATGTCTTGTCGTTGTTTATGCTTCTCTCCCCTCTTCCTCAGCTCCTCCATCGCCTCCACACGCTGCTCCAAGTTACATATCGTTTTTTTCAGCGCCTCCAGCTGTGTGACCCTGACGTACGGCTTCAACCTCCCCAGCGCCTCCTCGGCACCCATAATGCGTTGGTGCAAGTGAGTCATCTGCTCTTCTTTCATATCCTTCTCCTTGTTGTCCACATCCATTGAATGCAGCAGCTTGCTTCGTTGCTCCTCGAGCAGCTTCATGTTGTCATCAAACCCCTTCAACGTCTCGTCACGTTCCGCTATCGCCTTCTGCAGCTCCGCAGTCAAGTGCTCGTCCACGCGCTGCAGGCCCTCTTCATTCATGTCATTCTCGCTCAATACGAGCCCTGTCGAGAGGTTCGCAACAATCCCCTGAAGTTCCATACAATGCTGTGCATGCTTCCGTTCCTGCTGTTCAAGGAAGCTGATGCTTGAACGAAGATGCATCGCTGTCCCCTCATACTTGCGTTTATTTGCTTCAGCCACCTCAAGGAGGTTCGCCTTCTCCGACGCCTCTGCCTCGAGCCCCTTGATGCGCTCAGAAAACCCCTGCTTAAATTCCAACATAGCTTCCATCGTTAGCGTCGTCGGGGGGAGCGTCATTCGACTCAAGGATTGCTGCTTCTCATCTATGCGGCCTTGAATGATGGCGGCCTCCCGTGCTAAATTTTCCGCGTTCTGCTCCACAGCACTTAGAGCCGCAGTGACAGCATGCAGCTCCTTCAGCTGAGGCTCCAGTGACTTGGCTCTCTGTTCTATTGTCCGGATCAACTCCTCCTTCGAGGCAATGTCCAGTGTAAGCTGTTGCGCCTGCTCCCGGTGCTCTCGCAGCGCCATCAAATTAGCCTCGTGCTCCTTTTGCTGCCGGCGGAACTCCTTGCTGTTCTCGCGAAGCCTGTCCAGCGCCAACACATACCGCGTCGCCGCAAAAATCTCATCAAATATTTTCTTAACCTCCTTGGGGGGCGACAACGGCCAATTCCCGTCCTCCTGGTGGCAGAAGATGACGTACTCGAGTACCGCTGGGGAGACACCCAGCATCTCAGGCACGGCGCGATCCACGTCATTCGCACGGTACGTACTGGACACCACCTTGCCAGTGGCGGCGTCCTGAAAGGCCACCGTGCTATCGAGCGTCGTGAAGGATGTTTTGTTGCGGGCACGCACAGCCTGAAAGGAGCGTATTACCTGCATTACCTTGCCACCTTTCCCTGTGAACAAGAGGCGAATCTGCGCCTTGACATCCGTCTCGCCCATTACCTTCGGGTCGTACACGAAAGAACTCTTGTCAGAACCGCTGCCCGGAGGCATTTGTCCTGTGCAGGCGTTCAGCAAGGCTTCTATGATTGTCGTCTTCCCTGCACCGTTTTTTCCTAGAATGACGGTGAGAGGCTTCTGGAAAACGATTGTCTGACGGTGCACCGGGTTAGGATCAAAGCTACGGACCCCGCTGATTTGAATCTGTTCAATGCTCGTCATCCTCAGACACCACCTGCACTCACACAAACCCCTTCCCATTCAAGCGTTACACCCAAAGGAAAAAGCAACAGGAAATGGATAGTTCAAGTATGCAACGCTGGGAGAGGAGGAAACCGCATAGGCGTCTCCTCCATTCCCTCAGGTCATACACACAGCATGTGTGCGACGTTGTCCGCACGCGCGGCGAGCAACGGCAACGAAAAAAGTAAAGAAAATAAGACGGCTCAGTTTCATCCTTGGTTAAAAATAAAATAAAAAAGTTGGCGATGGGGCTTCGGAACTCCAAAAGAGGACTTCACACACACAAAAAAAAAACGATCCAAGCTCAAAGTGAACCCTCTTTGTGGGAGAGAAGCGTCACAATCCCGCATGCAACACGCTTACTTGGCACCTGTCGGGCGGAATGGCACCTTCGTTGTGAAGCGACGCTTGCGCAGTTCGACGGGGCGAGCACGGACAGTGCGGCTGTGGATGGCGCACGCGATGCAGTAGCGCTGCTTCATGTAAAGCTTGGGCATCGGAAATCCGGCACCGTACACGTTGGACGCTTCCGCCACATCACGGGCAGAGGCCTGGTCAAGCATGCGGCGCACAACGAAGCGTCCCACAGCCTTGTCCTTCGGCACAAGACGACTACAGTTGAAGCAGTGCACAGGCCTTGTGCGGCCACGGGAGCTCGGGGGCTTCGCACGGCCATGGTTGCGGCGCTTCGTCGTCATCCTTCTTTGTATCGGGTAGTAGTTTGCCTCCTTCGCTCTACAGTAGGATACCCAAACAGTGAGAGAGAGAGTGTGTGTGTAAGAAACACCATAGTGAAGAGCAAGCGGAGCCCAAGGAAGGCAAAGAGTCACAAAACAAAAACAAAAATTGTCAGTATGTGGAACAGAAAGCGGAGATTACACGAAGAAGGCGTGAGAGCTAAAAATAACGACAAAACAAATCTTCAATTCGCTCCTCGCTCTGGCAAGTGCGTACATGCTGTTTTCCTCTGGTGCTGCGTAGCGTGTCTGCTGGAACACTACAGTCAGCCGCAATCCCGCCCTTCCAGCGCAATGGCAGCGGTAGGAACAACACGCAGGAAACGTCCAGAGAAATATCTAAAATGGAATTACGATGAGGAGCAAACAAGAACAACAAGTAATAAAAATATATATACCTCACGGATCAACCCACGTTAAAGAACGCATCACTCCTCCCTGTCCTCCTCTCCCCTCCCTCCCCAACACACACACAAACACAGAAGCGCTACCACTGTCGCTGCTTGTCGTTAGAGTGGCGGATGAGGAAAAGTAATTCTCATACACTAATTTGGCTGTTCCACTCCTTTCATTGGTACTTCACTCTCATACATACTTCTCCTGCTCTCATTTTTTTTTTGACTGCCTCTTTTACACTGTACTGGGCAGCAGGCGGGAACCGACAACTTTTTTTCTTTTAAACAAAAGCCTATAAAAACGAGAAGCAAATAAAAAAGAGGGGGAGAGAGAGAAAGTAGGAATGGGGGTGGTGGCTAAACGAAACTCATTAAGCCCTAATCATGATGCTTGAACCTGCACCATTAATCTCTTGCATCCCCTACGCCATCCTCGTAAATGCCAAATATGGCCTCCGCTTCGGCAAGGCAGGGAGAGTCGTAAACTTTCATAATGCGCTGTTCACCCCGTCCCTTGCGAAGACTCAGTCGCGTGGTAGACGCATGCGCCATGATGTGGCCGCCAATGGGCTTCTTTGCATCCGCCTGAAACATTTGTGCAGAACCGTCTACGTTGGCGACAACCTGATTGGTAACAACCACGGCCACGCCATACTCCTCTGCAAGATTGTGCAATGAGCGAAGAAACTTTCCAAGGTGCATCTGTCTTGCGGCAAGCTCATTGCGTCCGGAGTAGTCTGTGCGGTAGAGCGCTGTGGCAGAATCAACAATAATTATAGCAAATCGATTTTCTGCCATCATTGCAGATGCCTGAAGGAGGAGCTGTTGTTGGTGGTCAGTGTTAAAGGCTCGTGCACAAGCGACGTTGGCAAGCACATCTTGCGGATCAAGTTTATAACGTTCTGCAACTGCAACCAGCCGTTCTGGCCGGAAGGTTCCCTCGGTGTCAATGTAAAGTGCCATCCCCTCCGCACCACCCTGCGAAATGGGTAGTTGACACGTGACGCAGAGTGTGTGACACAGCTGCGTCTTTCCTGTGCGGAATTCCCCAAACAGTTCAGTAATTCCACCCGTTTCAATGCCCCCGCCCAGCAGCTTGTCCACCTCACGGCTGCCGGTGGTCACCATGATGATCTCCTTGCGTGCCTCATGGTAAACCACCGCCGAGGTGAAGCCCATAGGCACCATTTTCGCACACTCTGCCATAATTTTATCTGCCTTCATTTCACTGATACCCTTAACAGCCAGAATGTTTTTTTTCGGGGCGTACGCAATGGACTCCACAGTGTAGAAGCCCGACTCCATGAGCTTCTTAATGTCCGCCGAGGCGATGCCGTAATTCTCCAGCACCTGAATGACGCGAAATCCACCGTTGCTGCCGGTGTCCATGTTTTGTTGATCCATCTGCTCCGGCTGCTGTTCAGGGGCTGCGACTGCATCAGGTGGGGTGGTTGCAATATCGTGGACCTCCGCCTCCATAGTCTTGCGTCTGCCTCTCTTGGAGCGAGTGTTCATCTCGCTCTTTCTGACGTACACGCACCGATTCGCCTTATTCCGCTTAATGTTTTTTTTTTGTGTGTGGTGCCACGTGACACATAACACGTGCAGAGCAGCAGCAATACACGAGGCCAAAAAAAAAATAAGTAAAAGAAGGGGGTGCTTGGCAGAAACACGTATTTAATAGCCCACCTCCAGCGTCTCCATCACAAAAATCCACCAACACTGCTCGGTGTATGCGCCCCTACTCGTGTAACTGAACATAATTGTAGGTGGTATTCTACAGTCGCAGACTCACACAACAAAACAGAGATGCAAAGAGATAAATTTATAGTAAGAGAGTCAGCTAAGCAAAAAATAAGTAAAAATAAAAAATAAAAAATATGCGTCTTCGCTGTGGGTCTCACTACTCTGCAAGATCTCGCCTTATCGGATGCGCTCCACTCCAGAGTACAGATCCCCGCACACCTTACATTTTCCCCCTGTTGCGCACTTCATTGCACATTTTTTGCAAAAAAACACATGTCGGCAGCTGTTGGCGCGGTATTGGGATTCATCGGCGTGGCACATCATGCACAACACCACCTCATCGATGCCAGAAAGCTCCCCTCCACCAGGCATTCAGTGCTTCTGTAGCCTTCGCTTATTCTTTTCTCTTGAGTTTTCAACTTCTGTCTGCGCCACCTTGCACCTATGCGTGAAGAGGAGGAGGGATGAAAAGCGCGGTGGGGAGTGAGTGAATAGAAGGTAGGAGGAGCAGAAGCCAAACATACCACCAGAGATAAATGTTCCCCCCCCACCCCTGCCTCCCCTGTTTGAAGATCCACCTTATTTCCGTTTCCACTTCGATGCCCCGCCCACCCAAGGCAAAGTCAACATGCACGGGGCAAAGGCCTGGAGAGAGAAACAAACACAAAAATTTTTAAAAAAAACACGCGCAGCTGCGTTATGTGTTCTCTCCCTCGCACACACTCTCTGCGTGCGTGGAGCGAGACACAACCAACGACGAAAGGAGAAGTCCAATAATAATAATAATAAATGTCGCCACCTTACGTTACGCTCAAATACATCATAAAAAAATGAAAAATAATAAAAACAACAACAACGAAAAAACATTGTGTTTAGTTTCCTTTTCGTGGCCCCGTTTGTCACTCCACCCGTATGTCCACAATAAAATTTAAGCGGCATCAAAAAAGAAAAAAAAAGCGACTCCACAACGACGCTTCAGCATTCACTTGTGCATCATGGCGTGCTGACGAAAAAAGGTTGGTTGGTCGAGCGGGCGTTCCAAACCTACCACTTAGTGGTGCTGTAAGGTGGAAAAAGGCATATTATTGGGGTGTATTTGCCAGGCACCCTGCAACACTGTACCCCTCCTCGCCGGCTTCCACAAACAAACAGCCCAAAAAGCGAGGAATGAAGATCAAAACAGGGTGCACATTACACGGTCAGTGTGTCGTAGGCGAGCCGGTCAATAATTTCCTTTTGCTGTGGGTAGAGTGACGTGAGGTGGTCTTTTGTAAAAAGCTCAAAGTCGGCGTAGTCAAAGCCCGGGGAGCACATGCATCCCACGACGGCAAAGGCACCCGGCACCTCAACGCTGGAGCCAAATATGACGCCTTTTGGCACGACAGCCTGCAGCACCTCACCCTTTTCAACGTTCGGGCCGACATTAATTATCTCGTGAGTGCCGCTGGGGTGAAGAATGTGCACGGTAAGCGGTGCCCCCGCATGGTAGTACCACACCTCATCCGACTTGATGCGATGGAAGCGCGAGGGGTTTTCGTGTGTTAGCAGGAAGTAAATGCTGGTATAGTAGCTGCGGTCTCCTCTGTTGGTTTTCATCACCTCATTTGAGCGCAGCACCTCCGCGAAAAAGCCTCCTTCGGGATGGGGCTGAAGGCGCAGATAATCCACCCAGTACTGAATGTTTTTGTTCATCCCTTTGCCGCAAATGTGTGCACACACGTGTACCCGTCTCGAAAGGAAACAATTGTTTTTTTCTTACTTTTTCTTTAAGACCCCCCACCACCACTTTTTTTTTGTTGTTTCTACAACCAAAAACCAAAAATAAACAAAAACAGCGTAATAGAGCTAAATTTTAAAGTGCAGATAAAGACGGCGTCGAGTTGCTTCAACAGACGCCACATAACATCCATCACCAACCACAACGATTTGCCCATGAATATTTGCCAGCACTTCAAGGTCATAGTACGAATAATACACACCATCTTCTTTACCACCTTCAGGAGTTGTATATGTTTTCACTTTTTCATTTTCACTTTTTTTTTTTGGGAGAGAGGGGGCGCTTTATCTTTTTCTCTTCTTTGTTTTGTTTTTGACGACATCATGTCAGCGAGGCACAATAGGCCCGCCGCTTGAGATCCATGACGTGGCGCTCCTTCGCTTTTTGTCGGTACTCCTCCAGAAGGTCGTCAAAGCGACGCCGGTCCGTGGCATAATCCACCTGCAACAACCTCCTGGCAATCTCCTCACCCTGTGCGTCAAGGGCCTTCACGTCTGCAGCAAGCGCCTTCGCTAGATTCTCTGGTGAGCTAATGGAATTCAGCAGAGGTGTCGATTGCAACACCTTCTGCACGGACTGCACGTTTTGCTCAAGTGATCGTTGCAGCTCCTCCACGTCAGCCCGCAGCTGATCAAGCACAGGCTGCAGCTTCAAGTTTTCGTTTGCCACTCGCTCAATTTCATCTATCGTTTGCCCACCAGCGTCGCGGATAGCCTTGAAAAATGGCAGTTGATAAGCGTAAGACTCTAGGCAGTTCGGATTCGATACAATGTCCTGCAGCATGGAGTCCGAGAGCAAGCCCAGCTGAGCGATAAGCGACTCCATGGACGGGGGCGCCACGCTCCCCCACAGGCTTGCCAGGTTGGCAAAGGCGTTCCCAACGGCGTCGGCCAGCTTTGACGTCGACGAATCCCACCCGCCGTTGGTGGAGCCGTCAGAGGAGGCTATGGAGATCGCCCGGCCGTCAAAGTACGTCACGATAGGGGGCACACGGGGAAACTTGGCGTCCAACGCCACGCAGAGCACTTCGGTGTAGCCACGCTCAGGGACGACGTGCTCCACCTGCAGAAATGTATCCGAGGCTGTCTGGTGGAGGACCGTCACGCTTTTAAAGCGACGCCGGAGCTCATCGATGTACGGCTGCATCTGCGGCATTTTCTACAGCGCACGCTGCGGCCATCGCATAAACAAAAGCCAAACAAACACACAGGCATAAAAGAAGAAAATGGAGACCAAACATGAGCGGAGAGCTAAGGCGCGTGAAAGATTTTTTTTTCTTTTTTTGGTGGGCGCCAGTGACGCACACTTCCCACAGAAAAAAACATAAACAAAAACGTAAACTTGCATTTGTGGAGACTAAACAAGGGCAAACGAAAAAATGTATCTCGCATTCATGACTGTGTCCTCTTCGCTACTCAGCTCCTCCCGCCCTGATTGCACACCATCGCCGCCACGTCCATTCCCGCAGCAGCAACCAAAGCAGATCCCTCTTGCAGCGACTTCTCCCACACTCGCCCTGGCGATGGTGCCACCAGTGGCAAAGTAACACGCACGACAGGCGTCACGGCTAGCGAAACCACGGCGTTGTCACTCGTTTCCACAGAAGCACACAACAGAGTTACAATAGCATCCAGATCAAGTGTCTCCAACAGGGCATCGCCCGGCGCGCCTCCCTTTGACGAAGCGGTGGCCAAATCATCCTTTCTGCATCGTTGTCGGGGAACCGGCGACGTCTCTGGACGCCTGTGACTCTTGTAAAAAAGCCATATACGGCTGCGGCCATTAACAACATCCCCCACGCCACGATCGCACGGATGTTTGCAGTTTGCAATGAGATATGCACTGTCATGGCGAATCTGCAGCTCCGTAGGGCCCACTCGCAACTGAAAGGAGTGTCCGGCAGACCACCTCCTTTTTGAATAGCTGTTGGCACTCGTTTCGGGAAAATATAGCCACTCATCCTCTCCAAAGACTTCATAGCCGTCAAAGAGAGACGCCGCTGCCCGCAATGGTTGCTCCTCTGCAGTGTCAACGCACGTCAGCACCACCACCTCCAACGTCACAATACCGGACCTCACATCCTCGGCGGAGGATGAATTCCTCACAAACGCACTCGTAGCCCAGGGACAGGAAAGAAGCGATTCTGTTTCGGTACAAGCTGAGTCACCAGGTGTGTAGAAGTACTGAGTACCGTACTTCTCTAGTCTTTGATTTAGCCGCTGCTCAAACTCCGTGATGATGACGCCCATGTTCCCATAGTTCCATGTTTCCGTCAGTCTCCCCTCATTCTGGGCTTCCTCAATGGCGTTGGCCTCCTCCTCAAGTGAGTGAGCAGTACGTGCTGCGTCAGTCTTGCCGTTGCTGTCGCTGTGGTTGTTGGCATCGGCATCGTTGCCCAGAGTCCCCAAAGGAAGTTGGTAGCGACGGAACCATGGACTTCGATAAACAGTTGTCCGTCTGCAGGTGCTCCGAAAACGCAAATCACCAGCGACGCCTCCTGAATTCCATGCGCCACAGACAAAGGAACGCCTGCTGAGGGAGTCGTCGCCGCAGCGTCGACGACCTAACGCGGTGTCACGACACCACGAGGGAAAGGCCTCCCACAGTTCTTTAGCTCCAATGGTGGAGGGGGACGGCGGGATGGTGCGGGGTGGTGCAATCCCGTGAGCTTTCCCTAGAGAAAACACTTCATCAATAACACTCGCACCATCCACTTCCTCGACAGCCTCGTCCACGTCACTCACTCGCCCCGTCGCAATTTGCTGCAGCAACAATAACCGAGCCACGTCCTCGCGATCCCCGCCTCGCGAGCATGTATGCAACAGCGTCTCCACTGCTTCCGCACACCTTGTGCCGTCCATTCCAAACCATCGGTTGTTACTCTTCCCCTTTGGGTAAAGATGCGTTTCAAGAACAAGTTACATAAAAAAAAACAGCATGGAAACGCCCGTGCGAAGACGCAAGAGGTAGGAGAAAACACACAACAAAAAACACGCACACGCGCACAACAAACACGCCTCACGGAGACAATGAAGTAGAGTGAGTGAAAAACGGCAAAACTAACTTTTCTTCTCATTGTGGAATTTTCCCGTCTCGTCTTCTTCGGTGGACACCAGCATAAGAAGAGTAGCAGCTTTCAACATCTGAATTTTTTTCACTGTGTAGAACGAAGAAGAAAGTAAGAAAAAAAAAAACACTTCTCCTTTTGTTCACAGCAGAGAGTAAAAACAGAACAGATAGATACAAAACAAAAACAAACAAAAAAAACAGTGTGGGCGGGTTGGAAACACACAAAAAGAGCAGACACAAAATAATAATAATAATAATAATAATAAAGACAGACGTGCGTGTCTGAAAGTGGGGGAGGGGGATCGTTTGAACAACAACAGACAAAAAAAAAAGGACTACACACATGACAACACTTTCATTTTCAAGTTTATCTTTTTCACAGCCGTCCCACACCTGTACATTTTTGCTGTTTACACATTTGTTGAAAAGGGAGACGCAGAAGCAAAAAATCGTCCAGGCCTCGGCATCTCCACCACCACCACCATTCGTACGTTGCCCCAAAAAATGAGTGACTGCGAAACTTGCTTCATTTGTACTTCCACAAGATGTTGTGCTTCACGTGCACCACTACGCAGAGAAAGATATGTTACAAAATGGACCAAATAAACACAAGATAAACCAACAAAGAAAGTGAGAATAAGAAATGGAAGCCTAAATGAAAACAAAATAAGGTGGAAAAAGAGTTCCCCAGCCACGTACTGCACAGTTACAAGCCATCCACAGATGGTTTGGTGGTAAACACCAGTCGGCCCCTCCGTTTCAGGGTGAGTTGACGGGGCACTTTTATTCCCGTATTCTGTGCCTTGTTATTACATTCCACAGGATTCTCAGCATTAAAATTGCTGCTATCATTCTTCTTGGCGTTAGACAGTGTTTGGGGCAAGAAAGACACTGGAAAACTGACGCGTTTCTTTATATCTGGAGGTCTCATGTGACCCAAACGCGTGCTGCTAAGGCCGCTTGTGCAAGCCAAATGATTTAACGGTCGCAGTGGCGATGCCGTCTTGGAGATGATGGGAAAATACGAGGACGAGGAGTAATACTCAGGTGAAAAGTCAAGTAAAAAACACGACAAGTTTGAAGAAATGTTCGGAAGTCGCAGAGCATAATTTGTAGGTGAGTTGGTGTTCTCCGACGCTTCTTCGTTGGCGGAGCCGTCAGTGCACGAGGACGCGATTGAGGAGCCCGTCAAACGGGCCGCAGCCCCGTCCGCATTTATTCTCGTTCTGGAGAAAGGGGATACGTGCGTCGTTTCCACCTCTATCGAAAGCGTGGGGAGCACCCGCGGCTCCACCGTACCGGCCCTATGAAAAGGCTCAATTTCCTCCAGCCGCACAGGTTTTCCCTCACCGAGGTCAAACCACTTATCACACCCGTCGACACGGACGACCGAGTTTGTTGCCGCATTTGGAGAAGGCGCAGGACCAGCGGTCGTAGACGTCGGCTTGCTGAGACTAACTTTGCGCGGAGACGGTACGCACCTCAGCGCCATCCCCTCAAAAAAGGGATGCGACAACGCCTCGTCCACCGTGAATCGCTTACTCGGATCTATAGTGAGAAGCGAACGAAGAAGACTCAACCCATTCTCCCCAAGCACCTCGCAATATTGGCAACCAAGGTAGTCTCCTGTCATCTCTGCCCGCGTTTTACAATGTTTGGTTTGTGCTGATTGTTCTGCCCGCGCCATGGAAATACATCTACTGCCTTGCATCATAGAGGATGGAAACTCACCCACCCGCTGCCGAATAAGGGTAAGCTGTTCATCCTCGGATTTACCTGGAAAAAGTGGCTCACCCAGCGCCAGCTCCGCCATGACAGTCCCAACCGCCCATATATCAGAGGCATAGCTGTATCTCGGCGCCCCCAGTAACATTTCAGGACTTCGGTACCAACGTGTCGCTACGTACTCCGTAAGTGGTGGCAGTTGTCCCTTTGGTGTTTCCAGAAGACTACCACTCGTTGTCGTTGCGGCTTGGGGAAACCCTACCGCCCGTGAGACGCTGAAGTCGCACACGACTGATGAGAAACCATAACGCACAAGAATGTTCTCAGGCTTCAAATCACGGTGAATAATGCCATTGCTATGGCATGAACGCACCCCCACAAGCAGAGTAAAGAGAAGTTGCCGCAGCTGCGACAGCGGCACACCGGAGGAGCTCCGTCGAAGGACATCTAGTAGGTTGGCCTCAACGTACTCCATCACCAAATACAACCTCCCCTTTTCACGAAGCGCACGTGTAAGTTGCACCACGTTTGGTTCACCTCGCAACATATTAAGTATGCGTAACTCCCGAATCATCGCACGCATGGCATACTCATTTCTATGCATCTCCTTGAAGCGCTTGACGGCACAAATGGCTCCGGTGGACTTACACCGGCACTTGTAGACAAAGCCGTAGCGGCCCTCTCCCACAACACTGACAATCTCGTAGGCGTCCATCGTTTGGCGCACTGAAAGAGCTGCCCGTCTCGCTTTGACCTTTTCTTCTTCTCTATACAGAATACACACACACAAAAAAAAAAAAAAACAACTTTCGAGGCAGCTTGGTGCTTTCGGTTCCTTTTTATTCCTGTTTTTTTTGCTTTTCCCGCTATTATGTGCAAACAAGTGGGGGGAGGGGGGCTCGTGCGAGCACACAGACGAACTTATCAGAGCCGCCCCTACCCAGCGGCACACCCACCCACGCTCCACAAAAGAAGAAACCGCCAACAGCTACCCACAAGTAAAAAGAAGAAGAAGAAAAGGACGATTCAAGCAGTGAATCAAGGACAAAAGCAACAATAACAGAAAAGCATAAAATAGTACGGTGACAAGTAAATACAAAAATGACCAAAGAAGAGAAGTGTTTGTGCGATAACACCGCCAAAATGCGGAGAAGAGAGTTTAACACAGTAATAATTATAATTATTATTATTTTAAGCGTGTGGGGAGCCATGATCTCAGCAGCTCCACCACAAACATCAAAACAGACTGTCACACAATCAGGACATTGCAATTGCCCTAAATGCGGATGTGTCGTTGGCACTATTAGATAACTGTGTCACCCATGAATCTGCATGGCATACATTTCGCCTTTATGGGTTAGGGGACTCATCACAAGTAAAAAGCTAGAGCAAAACTCACACATACACACACACACAATTACAATCGCTACTGCGGGCGTGTTGAAGTGAACGAAACGTCACTACGTGAATTTACCTCCCTGCATGAGTGGCTTCCAAGACCTTCCATCATATCCGTACAACTCTCCACACGCTTACGTCACCCCAACTGAGCTATCAACCGCTGCAGGCGTAAACACCACACAGGCCACTGGCAAAATAAGTATGCCTTCCTCATCTTCAGAGCCTGCTCCAACAGCAACGCTGATCAATGGGGGGAGATGGTTTACAGTGGTTCTACTCGAATGAAGCGGGGGGAAACAGGCAAACTGCGACCAAGTGTTATGCCAATCTGCACTGGAAACACGGTCATTGTGACCGCATCCTTCGTTTGGGAATGGCTTCTCTCTTCACAACGCTGAAGAGGTTGCAACTCACATTGCATGAAATTCCTCAACAGTGATGAGTCCTCCTCCCCGCCGTCCATCGCGGCGTCCTCACTGTCGTCTGCGACTAATTGACGCGAATTTCGTAGACCTGGACCCATGTCTGTATTCGCTGAATTATCCAAACAACGATACCCCTCAACACCTCTCGATTGCTTGTAGACTGTAGTATCGATGCTGCTCACAACTAACAGGGCTGACGTCGCGCAGAGGCCGTGGATATCATCATTTTACTTTTCCAGACTTTTAGCAAACCTGTTAGGCGGGACACAGTCTCAAAAAGAGACTCCGTTTCAGTCTCTTTACATCCGTCGCCCAAGGCACATATTGCATCCGTCCTTTCTTGGTCTGAGAAGCTGCAAGAACAGACGACGCACAGGGAGTGGTGGGCGAGCATACATTCACCCAACAAAGAGTGATGCTGTTCCATCACACTTGCCACCTGCTCAATGAATGCAAAGGAGTTCAGCTGTATTTCAGATCTAGCCACACCTTGCTCTTGCATCTGTCGCCTCTGCTCTTCCTTTTCATTCTTCTTTTGCAATGACTCTGTCGCGGTGGCTGCCCTCTTCTCACGAACCTTACTTAAGCGCAAAGCCGTCCCCATCGTCTGAAGCGTCGCCGTCGCTTTGGCCAACTTCCTCTTCATGTCACGCATCTCCTCAAGACGCAGTGACTCCTGTTGGCAGAGGATTTCCATTTTCTTGCTTTGCTGCTCAAGCAGAGTCCTGTAGTGGGAGACCTCCTGAGACAGGTACTTGTTTTGATCCTGGCCGACGCGAAGTTGTTCATTTTCTTCCTGCAACTTATCCAGTTGCTTTTGCAGTTGTGGTGAGCGGAGAGAATTGTCCCCCATGTCGTCCTTCTGGCAGCGCCCCCGCGACGATGCCAAGGCACGGCATTTTTTCTCCAGCGACGCATTCAAACGCCCGGCGGCGGCAACACGCAGTCGGAGGGTGTCAACAAAGAACGCCAATTTATTATTTTCAGCTGTCAGTTTCGCAATGGTGGCGCGTTGAGCATTTTGCACAGTGGCTGATTTACTCGCCCGCGTCTTTTCTTCCGTGGAAGAGGACGCCTTCTTTCGTGGGCCACTGCCGTTGCCCGGACCGCGTCCCACTCCCTCCCCTTCTCTGGTGGCACGGGAGAGGGAGCGGGTGCTATGCATGAGACCGTCGTCCCCTTCACGAGTCGATAACCCCTTTGCAGGGGCGTTCTCCGTCAAGCCCTCGGCTTGCAGTTGCGAAGGCGAGTAAATGATGTCATGAGTGCGCAGTCGGTTTACAAACCCCTCTAGATCGTCGGTAGTTGCGAAGGCCGGCAAGGCTTCCCCGCACGCCTTGAAACGAACCATCTCAATGTACTGTAAGACCTTAACACGGTATGTGTCATTCACGCGTTGAATGTTGTAATTCTGATCCCGCAGGAAACTCACCTCCTTTTCTAACTCCTGTATACACCTCCGCAACTTCCTATTTTCCAGAGCCAAAGCAGTCGTCATCACGGTACGCAGTAATGGAGGTGCCGTCGTCGTCGTTAGGCGCGTTGCCTGGCAATAAATAATGCTTCACGCCTCGGGCAACGAAGTGACAGAGTTCCTGACAAAAACGATACAACCACAAATGGCGGTGCCCCGCAGAAGGAGCCAGTGATTTCCTATTAACTAATTTCTTTCTGCTTTGACTCATGCTTCCAATTTTCTTGCCGTGTGTGTGTACGGGTGTTTTGTTTCACCGCCACTGCTTGGGGCGTACAAAAGCCCTAACCAAAATGTGTTGTGCCCCCCCACCCCACCCCACCACCACCCAGAGAAAATGGCAAACAAAAAAAAAAGAAATGAGAAGAAATGAGTAAAAAAACAACTTCTGTTGTCGGGCATTTGACTTTCCTCGTCGCTGAAAGGCCTACCCACACACGTACTCACCGTAAACGCAGCAACCATTCTCGTTGTGCCGCACATGTGGCCAAGCACCGAGGGACACACGTCTATCGATAGGCGTACTGTGTATGCGTAGATCCCGCCTCCTCTTTTCAAGAGCGCGGCACGCAGCCAAACACTTGTCACATGCGCATACGCTTCACCCCTTTCATGCCCGCGTGACTCCCTCCCTTCTTTTTCACGAAGCGGCTACTGTTGTCAGTATGCACATGTGAAAGATGCTCCAGCCAAAACAATCATCCCCTTGCCTGAAAGCACCTTTCCTTACGCCTTCTTTGCACTCTTGCGCTTGCGGCCCCTCGTCAGCGGCTTCGTCATGTTTTCTTTTTTTTCTGCTGCGTCTGTCCAGCAGTAGGTTTCACGACTTTGAGACGCCCACGTTGGTCGGATGGCACGCGAGAGGCCATGTGCGACTCGACGGCGGAAACATAGTTTGCCCGTGCCTTCGCCTCGACCGTATTCCGCCGCTTGCTGTGCACCGTCTTCTTCTTTGAATCCCCAACGTACTTGCGCAGGGCACCGTCACTCTTTACACGGGACTTCCTCTTTAAGCCTTTTTGTACCATTTTTTCACCTTCTCCTCACAAACTTGTTTGTTTGTTTGTGTGTGTGAAGAGCAGTAAGGAAAAAGAACAGGGTAAAGAAAGGCTTCAAATGACGTTATAACCTGCAGAGAAAAGCAGTAGGAGCAACAATCGTGCCACACGGCAAAATATTTCAATCCTTTTTGCTCGTGTAATTCGGTATTGAGATATGCGTCTTTTTAGCTCGCACACTCCCATCATGTACATGAAATCCATTCCTCATGGTTTTATTTCGTTCTGTGGTTTGTTTCATTGGTTTTCTCTTTTTTTTTTTTTTGTCATCTCTGCATTCATGCATAACTACACAAACATACAGAAATAAAGGTATTTATGTGCATAGGGCATCAGGTGGGTAAATCACCTGAAGCCGCGTCCGCGTGCAAGCCTCTAGAAGTTCAGAGACACCACACACGCCACGCCTCGCTTCACCCAGTGCTCCGGCTCGAGGTCGGTGGGAATGCAAATGGGCAAAATAAAGTTCGTTGAGTGTCCAGTGGTGCTCAGCGTGCCGGCGCGGGTCAGCGTCTTGTACACTGGGCACACATAATCCTTAGGGTCGTTGACGTGGTCGACCCGCGGGTCCAGGTGAATGAGCGGCATCTCCACGTACAGCTCCTTTGGTCGCGACTCTGCGAGGGTGCGCATCGCAGCGTCCCACCGCGCGCCCTCCATGTAAAGTCCGTACACAATGGCCCCCTCCGCACGCGCCTCCACCTGGGAAAAATCCTTCTCCTCTAGCAGCTCAAAGGCGAAGGAAACGGAGTCAATGGCGACGCTGGTGCGACGGGCATAGTTCTGCAGTGTGCCAGTAAGAAACGCCTGGGGGAAGAAGAATCCGCCCATCCAGAGAACCTTTGGCACGCCATTGTCGTACCACGACTGAATAAACTGCACGCGTTGTACCAAATCGTCAACCCAACTCGAGAGAGGCTTCATGGATGGATACGCCAAGGCAACCCATGACGCGGGGACGGCGTTGATGAAAAAGCTTGACCCAACTGCCTCAAGCTCTGCTGACATAACGACTTCACCTCGCACCGCCTTGGAAAACTCCGCGAGACTGGTGCGAACAAAACGAAGAAGACGATTGTACCGCACAGCCTCCTGAACAAGAACAGTATTCATGGACTCCTCGTACCGTGTAGGATACTTTGCATAAAAATCCTGTACGTTAAACATCTGGGGCAGCTTCTCTTGGATGCCCTTTGCCGTCCGTGTTAGCACCTCCTCGCGACTCATGTGTGATGATCCCGACTCTTCACGCGAGACGAGAGATAAGATGGTGGAAAGGACATTGGCACTTTCGCTTTGTGCACATGTGATGTCAGCATTGTCATGTAAGCCAAAAATCTCTGGGTCCGGATTCAGCGGCCAGGTGCTGAAAAGATTCAGGTAGTGGTGTCGGTCAAATGGTTCAATGGTGCGGTACAACCCGGAGGGCGAGAAAGCGTAACCATCGTTTAGCACATCGGGGTTAATAAACGTTTTTACGAGAGCCAACATGCAGCGTCTGTCCCAGTCATCCGTCACACGCCCACCGTAGTTAATCTCACATGTAAGGAAGGTTAGCACGTCAAAGGGAACCTCGTCGTAGAGAGACATAAACTTGCGAAGCTGCAGGAGGCAGACGTTACGGTCGGAATCATTGAATTCGTAGGCGATGTTAAAACCCAAGGAGCCAAACTTGCGACGCTCCTGAATCACGCCATGGAAGAGGCAAAGTGCGAAAACCATCTTTTTAAACTCATCAGGTTTGCTCGCGTGATCTAAATCCTCGTCGGTGAGGCCGTAATACGATCGTGTCACATTTGCACGCAGCCCCATGGGCGGTTCATTAGTCATTTTCACAGCGATTTGCAGGACAGAAACAGGGAACGACTCCAACGGCATCGACGTCAGCCAGAGACGAAACTCCTTTCGCACGGTTTCAGGAGTAAAGGTTTCCACAATGGCCTCCAAGGTTGGCATCCATGAGGTTGCCAAATGACAATTTTGCAGAAGCACCCACTGACCACGCTCTCGGCCGTTATTCAGTAGCTCCTCCGCTTTGCGTCCTTGTCCCTGGCCGAGTGACACCTTGTCCATCTTCTTCGACATCCGCATTTGTTCCGCAAAGCGCAGAAGATCATTCATGGGGTCCGAGCCTGGCGAAATGATAAAGATAAGTGGTGTCAGGCATGTACTGTCCTTGTATGCATCCATAAGATCAAACTGAGGAACAAGAATAAACCGCTCCCCCATGAAAAACTTCACAAATTCCTGAATAGCTGGTGCAAGTTTGTCCTTCCGGAAGCAACGTGTAATGATAAGACGCCGCAGCTTCGTCTCCCGTTCAATCCATTCACCCACGAGGGGGTACGTATGTGCCGAGGAGCTGTCAAACAGCATCTTATAGTGTTCACAATTTTCAGACACGTGTTGAGCAAACCCTGCAAAACCAGGGAGACTGTCACTGACAAATTGAATTTCATTCCAGGAGTTGTCGGTGAGCCATTCTGGGGCAGGGTTTGCCGCGGTGCCTCCTCGGCTTGTTGGCCCTTTTAGCAGGTAAAGATACTCGTCGCCGTTAAGTTTGCCCTCCTGCTGCAGGATGGAGGTGCAGAGAAAAAAGGAGAACGTCAACTTGTGACGCTCAAACAAGGAACGGCAGACATTCGTGTAGAAGGAGTACATAAAGTAGTCTACTAGGTTGTTGACACGTGTCTCGATGTCTTCAGCCGGCTCCGTTTTGTCTACCGCAAGCAGCACCAGGTTAATGAACCACTGGAGGGAAAATTGATACATGGGATCCACCATGGCAAGCTCCGAGACGCAGAAAAAAAGTAGTGCGCCACGATATGCGTGGGGACGATATTTATCTCGAGTTTCGTCAATCGTCTTCTCCGTCTCCCGCGCCCGTCGAAGATCATCCTTAATTTCCGTGGACTTGAGCTTACTCTTTTCTAATGCAATGATAAGGTCCTCCTGGTCGAGAATGTCACCCTCCGCCTCTTCTAGCATACTCAAGATTTTCTCCTGCATCTCTTTAAGCTCCCGACTCTTCTCCGCGGAGTCCCGAATCAGCTTTTGTTTCTCCTGCTCCAAATCACTGCGTTCCTTTTCCACCGTTTTGCCCAACAGCTGATCCTCCAACCCGCTGCGTGTAATAAAGAAGTTCAACAAAGACACCATCACAATAGTCTCTGGAGTGTAGGAGGGATTTGGAAGCTTCGTCGTCATGTAAAAACGAAAGTTTCTATCGTACGGGATCGCGGAGTCCCCGACACGAATGTGGGGTGTGCTGCCAATAAGGAAGACATTACGCAACAGCACCGGCTCCAACGCTGGGTCAAGAGATTCTCCCACATTTTCCAGTAAACACGGAAGGCCAAGACGAATGGCACCTTCCACAATTTTCATGAACTTCTCCTCCGAGGCCTTACAAACCTGCAAGTTGTCGTTCCTGTGCCAATTTCGAATCCACTCATTCGCTTGCCCCTGTGGATCAATTAAGAGCGGCCACGTCCGTGCATTTGTGAGAATGATGGCATTCTCCGTAGAAAGTGAATCCTTTGGCAACCCACACACTTGCCACTCCTGTATCCGCACAGGATCCCCAGTGGTGGCGACGAGGTCCATGTGTTCACTGGTCTTGATGCCGACCCTGGCGAGGATGCCAGCCCATGCATCAAGGAGATGTCGACGGTAGGGACCGGTGAGGGGGCCGCAGTACGCAATTGAGGCTGCAGCCACCAACATATCCCCCGATATACACTCCCGCTGTGCCCTGTATTGTTCAACGAGCTCCATCCATCGCACCTTCTCGCCACCAAGGCCGTCAATAAGCCGGGCAGCACGTTGCAGCTTCTGACTTATCTCCTCTACCTCGTTTTCAAGCTCCATCTGTGTTTCTACAGCCTCCGTGAACTCCCGCTCAAGCGTCGCCACAGCCTCAACAACAGCATCCAGTTTCATGCGTGTATTAGCGAGAGCTGCGTTGACACGTCGCAATTCACTTTCCGCCGCCGCAAGTCTCTCACGCAGGGGCTGAATCTCACGATTCACAAAAAACCACTTGTACATTGCACGCACCCATTGACACATCGCCATACATGGCACGGAGACCGTCTTCACCTTTTCCGGCAGGAACTCTTCGTTATCATAATACGCCCTCACCTTCTCAATAAGTGGCATATCCATCGCCTCGCGGTCAAAGCCACCCTTCTCAGGGGGCGGTACCAACGTGTCCAGCAGCTGATTCGCATTCTTCATGTACGACTTGGCGCACAGCCACCAATCTGGGGTTTTCTTGGCTCCAGGTGGTCCCGTATAAAATTCTCGTGGGCAGTTTCCAAACGTGAGCAGCAGTGCGACGGCCTCCATCACGTACTGTACACCCTTGGGTGGGTTCTGGTACTTGTTCAACTCGGAAATTTCAGCCGCCTTAATCCTCGATAGCACCTTCACCGCCTCCTGTAGGGCGGGTTCAGCCTCCGCCAATCGATCCGCACATTCCCGGCGCATCTTGGAACACTCCTCTGCCTTTGCCGTCGCAACGGCCTCTTCCTGCCGCGCCGATACCTCCTTCTCCGCGGCATCTTTGCGATCCACACGTAGCTGTTCCATAATCTCCTGAATTTCCGTCTTTTTCCTCTCTAGAACAGGCTGCTGCGCCTTCAGTTGACTCTCCAACTCGACGACACGCTCCTCCGTATCGTACAACTTCTCTAGTCCGTTCTCCAGGCGATTGCACTGCTCCAGTACAAATCGTCGTTTGTTCTCCACAAGAACCGTGTAATTGTTGAGCAGGGAAAGGTAGGACGTTGGTGTCACATAGGAACGACGGTGTGTCTCCACAAAAAAGCGCTCCGTTGTCTCCGACGCAGACAAGTGCATTGATTTAAAGCACTCAGCGAGACTTTTCATCTCCTCATTCTGAATATCCAAGTTTGCAACGGACAGCTGAGCATTAGCCACGGAGAGAAGTGCTTCACCAGGCCACTCTGCAAACCAGTCAATCGTACAGCAGGTAATTAATGAAGGAAACATACGTATTCGACTGCGAAACACCTCACCAATAGGTGAAAATGCCAAGACAATATGAAGGTTCGTTCGAACCTCCTTAATAAACCTTGCATATACCGACACCTTTGTCGTTGGCAGATTCTCGCTCATACACACACCCTTAAATTTGTTGTTGATGAGCTCAATGTCCTGGTCTTCAAATAGGTTAGGTACATCGCCTGAGGTTAGGAGCCCGGCGACATCCTCCATCAGTGTGGGGTGAACCAGTTGGGTATCTGAAAACAGAAAGGTGCGTTTTCTCTCGTTCTTTCCGCAGTCCAGCAACAATGTCGCCAGCGACTCATGCCACTCCTTTACACCAAAGTTCTTTGTAAACTCAATCGTGAAGACGTCCATGTCGGGAATGAGAAAACACGCGAGCCGGGTCAGGGACTTACGGCCGGAACCACCAATGCCCAGTAGAAGACAGTGACCATTTGGCAAACCCAGTACGCGGGTGATGCGACAAACGTGCTCAATGGCATCAAGGAAGAGCACAAGATCCATAACGGTCTCATTGGCGTCGTTGTAGGCGTTTAGTTGTTCGTTGAAGAAGGAAGCAAGAACATTTATGTCATCAATTTGACTGTAACTTCGGTCATGATCAGACATAAAGTCCCCAAAGATGAGTCTACCTTCCGGCACCAACGCGTGGTACCCACCCTCGTAGCCCAACATTGCGAGTTCCTCATTGAGAAAGGCAATAAATTGTTCACGGTCTTCTGAGCAGATGAGCCGGTCGTAGAACACACGCTGCATCTCATGCATCCATTGCTTCACCAACACCTCCTCGTTCGGCACACTCTTCGCGTCACTGGCAAAAATCATGGGGAACACCCGCATCACATCACGCATATTAAACGAATAATGCACATGGGATGGCGTCGGTACAAAGGCTTTGCGGCAGTTTCCAAAGACCCGTAGAGTGCCTTCCACGAGTTTGGAGGAAAGTTCAATGAGTTCCTCCTTCACACCACGCTGATGAAGACCCCCTGTGAGAATCGTGTTCAAAATGGTCCGCTTTGACACCTCCGACATCTCGGGAAACGACACATAGTTGAGGTAACGCATGAGACGGTTTGACACTTGTGTGCGGCTTCCACCTGGCGGTCCCATCGCCATGACAAACGATGTGTCAATGATAGCGTTCCATCGGATGCCACCTGTGAAACCGTAGAAACCACCATGACCCAACAACTGACGCAGCAGCTCTAACGGTGGCTGGGCGCCGTAGCGTTCCTTTTGTGGCAAATTCGCATCATCAATAAAGACGAGAAAATGCTTACCGATGGGGGCACCATACACGTGGGAACGGCGCTTGTCAAATTTAGACATGAGAGAGTTTTGCAGCACGCCCGCCTTTGTCTGTGGTGAAAACGTAAAGGTTAGGCCAAGGAAGCGGTCTGGTAGCCCACCAAGTACAAGATCACTCACAGAGACCGTCTTGCCAGTGCCAGTCGGGCCAACAGCCACCACATTTGCTTTTTGCATCAGCAGGTGCCGCAGCACATACTTCTGGCGTGTGTTGTCTATTGTAGGCACCATAACGTCTTCGTACTTTGTCATCCGCCCAATGTCACACCTCTCGCAGAGGTCATTCCAGTGCACCCAACGTGGCTCCACCTCATCCTCGGGTGAGGCGGAGTAGACAAAGCAGTAGTCGTAGATACTTCCTTCAGCTGGCAACGAATCAGCATGGTTGTTACGCTGAGCCACGGTACGCAGTATGTTGCTAAATTGCTCACGACTGTTCTCGTCACACGTGGCACCAATGCTCCAGATAACAGACATAAAAAACAATGGGGTGATGCACTCTGCAAGAATATCCTCACGTTCTGGGTTCAGTGGTGGTTGACCAGGCGGCGGTTTAGGCACCGAAAAGGACTGGATGTAGCCATTCATAACGCGGAAAAAGGAGTGCACGAGACAAACGTTTGTTGACGGCACATACTCCTTCAAGGTGGGCCCGAACAAATTCCACAAGTTCATCCATATACATGTTAGTAAGATCCGCAAGGTAGTCTTTTTGCGAGGTGAGAAACACCGGAATAGAATCCTTCCATGTCTGCACAACAGCGTACGTCGGAACACATGCTGTTGGATCCATGTAAATCATACCACAACGCGAAACGGTGGCGGGTGAGGCGACGGCGAGATCCTCCACCTCAAACATCATCGTCATATCACGGTTCATCTGAATAATTTCACCAGAGACAAGGCAGAGCTTTTTGTTTTCATCCAAGACTGTGTTCATGGACTCAATCCAGAGGGCATCAACCGGGCCGTCAAACATCACCCAGTGTTTACCTAACTGCGCCCCCTCATCACCATACTTCGCGGCACGACGGAAGAGAACACACAGAACACCATCCTTCCACTCCCCATTCTCATCATACGCGCCGTACAGTTGATCCATCGTGACAGCCTTGGGGTTGCAGACATGAGTGTAGACCTTCATGTACTCCCTTGAACCAACATCCTTTCCCTTGCTCTGCAAGATGGCGCATTCCGACAAGGCATTCTGCAAGGCGGTGTATGCCATCGTCTTTCCACTTCCAGCGGGACCCACCAACATCAGGCCATGACGCAGCATTGTAATGTCGTAAAGCTGTAAACACTTATCAATAAAGGCAGGCACAGGTTGAAGTTTATCGGCCGTAACAACTTGTCGAAGAAGGTCTACAACAACGCCGTAGTCCGTTGAGGGAAGCTTTGTACCAGGAAATAAATCACTGATAATTCCCTCAAAGAGCGAAATGTCATCCACAAGAAACTTGGGCACATTGGAATCACGTAAGGCTCGAAGCAGTAACAAATCCTCCTCTTCGTTTGGGCATTCTCGCTTGTTTAGCCCAGCAGCAGAAATGACTGTAGTCACCGCACGCATACCAAAGTCATAGTGATCCTGCGATGAAAGCTGTTCCGAGCTTAGCTTAAATGTCATCACCATCTTGTGTGCGAGGCTGCGCGCCTTTTTGTAGCCATACGAAAACAGACGAATCTCACCAATGAGGGCGTAGTCTGGTACCATGCACGCCACTGGGCGGAAGAGAACCTTCAAGTTATCTGGCAATTCAGTACGTCCGGCGTAGCCGGGGTTCATTGTGATGAAGACGGCATGAGTGGGATCCACAACCACCTCGCTGTCCTCAAAGATAATACGGTACTGCTTTGTGAGGCAGGCCTGCTGAAGATCTGTCACCTGCTGAGCCACAACAGAGAGCACCTCCACATCAATACGGTTAAACTCATCAAAGCACGCCCATGCGCCAGCCCATGCAAGACCTTTAAAAAACTTTGCCATAGAGTGACACGTCATACCCTCCTGACAATTGAACACAACACACTGCTTTGCGAGCGCTTTGGCCAAGTCTTTTGTTGTCTCAGTCTTGCCAGTACCAGCAGGCCCCGCAGGAGCCCCACCAAGACAAAGCGCCAAAGCCCCTGTGAGTGTTAAGTAAATGCGATCGGTGAGTGGCGTCACAACAAGGCGACCTGTATTACCAAGATACTCGCCGCCGTACACAAAATGAGCGTCCACCTGCTTAATGTGGCATAACTCATCTTCAGGGTCAAAGTAAAACCGCAGTTGCTTCATCCAATCAAAGGAGTGCACAGAGCTAACTTGGTTGCGCTTCAGCAACTCCACGGTATCCTTTGCGTGCACCTCCACAGTAATGAGAGCTCCCATGTTGATTCTTTCGCGTGACTTAAGCGGTGACTGCACAACGTCCACAAGTTCATACAATTTGGTTTCAAGGGTGTCAAAGAACTTTTCCACGCCTCCTTGGTGGGTCAACCCAGTCTCGCAGCCGTTCGTCCAAAATATCTGCGCGACAGCAATGACACACTGCGCGGGCCACCGCAATACCCATTGTCGTCGCGGGGTCCTGGTGTAGTCGTAAAAGGCCTGCCGCAGCTGTTCATGCACCGCGTTTTTCATCATACTTTCTACCCACTGCAACCACACCTCCACATTCCCATCCGGTATGACAGGCTGCACGCTTGGCAAGTGTTCCCCCTCCGCGCTAAAAAATCCAGTGATTACACTATCATTCCACGCCAGGCGGCTAATAAACTCAAACAGTTTACTGATGTGTGTATCAATGCGCTTCACCTCCTTCGACTGCGAGAGAATCTCAAGCAGCTCCTCATCGGACAAAAAGTAAAACCGTGGGAAGGTCTGACGTTTCTCCGCCAGGTAGTCATTGAGACCGTGTTGAACCTCCTCCAAGATACGGTTCGACTCCCGAAGACTTTCAAGTAGTTTGCTCGTCCCGATGCAAAAATCCAAAACATTCGGTTGATGGTTAACATTTCCCATAATCCGGCGCCATGTTTTATCAACCCGCTCAAACAATCTGGAGAGGCGTGGGAGCTGCAGGGCAATATCCTCGGAGCTGAAGATGGGCTCCAGGTACCGCCACGAGCGTTGACACTCCAGCCATTGCTCTATAATGTCCGAAATGAGGTTTAGCGATCGCTCCCAGTCCGTGATTGACTCCTCGTAGAATGCTTTAAACGGGGAAAACTGCAGTTGTTGTGTCAGGTTTAGATGCTCGTCCAGAAACTCCACAATCTCCGAGGCGTCCTTGACAATAAACGTCCCAGTCTTTTTGTAGGGCTCAATGACAAACATTCGGGTCTCCCACTTGGCACGCATGTCCTTCAGGCACTTCTCAATTTGTGCCTCCTTTCCAGCAACCTCGCAATGAGCCACAATGAGTTCCTTGTGGCACAGCAGTGGTTCAATGTCGTCCATCAATATAATGGTCTCGCCCGGCACAAGATTCATATTCAACTTCTCCGAGAGGCCTTTCCAGTGTCTCTCTTTCATGCCATGCTGACGCAAGGATGTTACCACAGGCACCCAAGGCTTAAACTCCTCCACCCTGGCGCGTATCTCCTCCACAATCTTCAGTGTGGCATTCTTATCTTTGAATGTTTTGGCCAGTTGCGTCATGGTCTTAAAAGCACTCATCACCACGTTCTCAATTTCGTCGGGGTCAAGCGAGTCAAACGGGTCTGCGTGCCAACGACGATAGCAGTCTTGCCACTGGTACGTTGTCAACCACAAGTCACTGTATGGTTTAAATTCTTTCTCGAGGTCAAAAACATTGCGGTAATCGGTCAGTTTATCACCAAAGAGCCGTTGATCGCTGTTGATGGAGCGAGCCTCCTCAATGCATTTCCGGATTTCAATGCTGTTCATCTTAACCATGGCAGCCACCTTCTCAGCCTCGGAGGAGTCCGTGTACTTGGAGAAGGTTGCCACAACACGCTGCAGGCCATCAACCTTTTTGCTGAATTCCTCACCCTCCTTCAGCAGCCGCGCATGCAACTCCTCCTCCACCTTCTCAAGCTGCTTATTAGTGTCTTGGATACAAAGCGCCAGCTGCCGCGGCCACGCGATGGCCTCCCACTTTTGCCGGGACTCATCGTCGCTCAACTCGTACTGAAAACCATCAAGAATGTTGTAAAACTGTCGCATCTCCTCAATGTCAACAGTCAGCTCGGCGACACGCTCTGGTGTGTTCGCAATAAAATTTTTTAGCTCATACAGCTTTTCTGGGTTTTGCGGCTGTTTTTCCACGGTCCGCACAATTTTTGTAAACTCGTCACGAATGTAGGTGGTCTTGCTCTTGGCCATTTTGCAGATAAGATCCATAATGAGCTTGGCGAGGTCCCGCTCCTTGTTTGCCATGATTTGCCCAAAGGACTGGCAGTCAACAACGTAGTTACCAACGGTGATATACGCCGGCAGTTTCTGCGCCACAACTTTCTTTGCCTTAAGGCGCTGCCGTATTTCATCCTTCATATCCTCCATCGTGTGCTCCTGCTGCTCGTAATTGGTGATAAACTCCTTCTTGTCAAGTCGTATAAGTGGAAGAAGTTCATCGTACGTCTGCAAGTAATCTCGCAAGGGCTGCATGGACTTTTGCAGTGCCTTACGTACACGCTGTCGCAGCAGCACAACGTGCTCTTCCCCCTGCTTCACGGAGTCTAAAAAGGGCCCTTCCCCCTCACGCCGCCAAAAGTATTGTGACATGACAAACTTTTCCACCTGTGGGGTGGCGTCAGTGCAGTAGATGGCATCATTGAAGAGTTGAATGATGGTTTCCTCAAAGTCCTCAAAGGAGATGGAGTAGGTGAAGCTCCCATCCTGCTCCGCAAGGCCAATGATGAAGAGTGGCTGCTTCTCAACGCAATCGTCGGCGTCACTACCAGGCCATTTGTTCTCTACGTGATTCATGTCAATGACATTCACCGTAAACTCCGACACTTCCTCAAAGAAGACGGTAAAGTCTTGCAGTGATGTGTAAACAAGGGAGAATAAGGTGTCCTCCATCATAAACTTTACGGTGGTAAAAAACTTTTTAAGCTTAGACATTTCGTAAATGTCTTGCTTCGATTCCTGAATGTTCAGCCATCCCTTTCCGGCGGAAGCAAAACTTTTTCGAATCACGTCACAGATGTTTTCCGTCCACTCTCCCTTGAAGTACTTTGCCATGGAGGTCATGTGTTCCTGCTGTAGCTTCTTAAACGTTGCGAGTTGCATCTGGCGGGCCTTTGGAAGGCTAAAAAGGCTGCCCTCGAGAACCTTTATACATTCACTTCGCACACCAGTCAGTGCGGTCACAACCTCGGGCTGCGTGTAGTATGTTGAAAACGTAAAAGAACGTTCACGCTCCTCAAAGTCAAAATTGTGAATCGGAATCACCGTATCGCGCTCCCCTTTTTCACTTCGTTGAATCGCCACATTCGGCCCACGCACCAACTCCTGCAGACTCATCTGCGTGGCGTTGGCCACCATCCGCTGCAGGACCTCGTCACGCTGCATACGATCCTGCAGGAGAATGCGGTTGTGACTCCGCTTCCATGCGAGTGTAAACTCAGCAATAAGACGCTCCACCCGCTCCTCGACGTCGGGAAAAACCGCCTTGCTTAGATGTGGCATGCCAGTACCAAGGTGGCGCAGACGTGCCCCAAGTCCGCTGTCAAGTCCACTTAAGCCTTCTAGTGGCATGGCATCACAGCAGAGGCGATACCGAATCCACGCCATCGCCTTTGCCCGCTGCTGCTGTGCGCTAACAAGACGCTGAACGTAGACAATAGGATCCTCTGCCAGCAGACGAACAAAGAAACGCGGTACCACGACGGGCGTCTCATCCGCCACTGGGGTTGCGCCCCATAGGACTGTGAGTTCATTTTTACCTGCATCCCAGGCTATCACGCGACACGGCCGCATGCAGAAATCTCCATTTCTGCATTCTTTGATGCCTTCGGCGGGTAAGTAGCGACCTTTTTCATTTGCGTTCTGACTTGCTATCTCCATCCACTCTGAAGGATTTCGACAGTCGTAGGAGGTGTCGTCAAAAACCTCCAGTGGCAGCTCCTGACTGTCTTTCCTTGCAAGCTGCCGTAACGTCAAACCAGCCAACTCTACAAGATGCTGTACATCGTGGAATTCATACTGCCGCCGCCGCCGCTCTATTTCGATTTTGCGTGGAATGCGGCCACGCTGGTGCGCAAAGGGCACCTGCACCTTCGGTTCAAAGGCTGCCTGTTGCGCATCGGAGAAGAGAATGGCCGTTTCCTTGTATGTTGCACTTATGCCAACAAGGGAGCGGGGGGAGGTTGGGGCTCGCCCCTCCGCTAACCAGCCAACATGCCCATCCGTCGCAGCACTCCTCTGAGAGACTAGCCAATGTGAGCGCGCTGGCGACGCCTGCTGCGACTTGAATTCCCCCTGCGCATTCCCTGCGGGCGGCTTTGGGTCTGGACGCAGGTGGTGCTGAAGCATCAGCAATGCCCTGTCCTTGGTGTGCGGAAAACCAAAAGACTCGATCTTCCCAAATAGAAGCAAAGGAAAACTTTCAAAAGAACAAAAAGGCACACTTGCACGCGAAAAAAAGCGTATGAGAAGGAGAGGAGAGAAGGGTCTCTGCGAGGTGACCTCTGGCAGTAGCAAATACTACCAGCGATCTCAGTATAAGAAGAATAAGGACATAAAACACCAACATCAACATCAACAAACAACAAACACAAACACAAACACAAACACAAACAACAACAACAACAATGCTTTTTCCCCGCACCTCTAGCGCTAAAGCCCACAGGAAAACTCCATTTAGAGACCTACAACTCTTGCATTTAGGCCCCACTCACCAGGGCAGGGAAAAAAGGAATACGGTAAACAAACCTCACCCACAGCCTGTAAAGCAAATATCTAGCGTTTAAACACCAAGAAACCAAAGAAGCCAGAGGGTGGATGTAACATCCAGACATGTTCTCTCCGCGTAACACATAACTTCACTTCTTAAGTTGAGCTTGATCAATATGGTAAGGCTAACAGCCACACAGATTTGTTGTTACTTGTCCTGGCTTATTTTTACCTTCTAAAAAAAAAAAAAATGTTTGCTTGTGTGGGTGCCCTATTCCTGCATATCCATATATCCCACCTTTAGTGACACATTTAGGCCCTACCTAAGCAATTCTACGCATCGCCGTTGTATGTGGGTGTTGTGGAGTGTATGCATCACCCAGCACATTTCCTTCCTTCGGCTCCCGTTCTAGGCATCAATGAGCTCCATAATGGCTGTGGCCTCCGCAGACAACTCCCTGTCGTTGTCCTCTTCGCGTGCAATGGCCCTCAGTACAGTTGAGAGCCACTCTGATACCCGCTGCACGTCGCGCTTGCGACCGCGCTCGCAGGAGTACCGCAAGGCACGAAGCACAAAAACCACAACGGTGGGATTGCCACGTGTGTCGGAGATTATTTCCCGTAAGCGGGTCAGACTCTCTGTCGTTAGAAGATCGTAATGGGCCAGCGGTGACAAATGAACAAAGTAGCACACGCATGCAGCGGCATGTTCAGCAGCTGAGCGCACTGGTGAGGCGCAAAGTGGCAACCACAAGGATTCCATGCCTTGTTGTGGAAGAAGAAGTAGGCACTGCTGCGCTATGGGAGAGACTGTGTGGTTCACAGCATGCTTTAACAAAAAGGCGGAAAGTTCACAGCAAGGCTCCAGGAGGTGATCGATATCCTTTGTCACGGCCATTGTCAGCGTCTTCAAAAGGACTGACGTGAAAAACTCTTGCGTTGCCAAATAATCCATGATCTCCGCCATCCGCTCTGTTTGCACCACCAGAAAGAGCAGCAGCTGCAGTGGCACAGAGAGATTGCCTTGCTTAGAGCGCAGCATATAGCGCACCAGGTCCCCTGCTAATTCCACTGTGGCAATGCTGGCAAACGCCTTTGACCGCCGCTCGCCACACGTTGCAAGCAGACGCAGGGCAAGAATGGGAATAGGTTCGTTTTCATTCAGTAACTCCGGGAGCGAGGACGCGACGGCCCGCGTCAACTGGTCCAACTTCTCCGCTTCCATAATTTTCTCCTCACGTACTAGACCCGATGCATCAGCGAGGGGTGCAACAAAGGCACTTAGCGTACGCAGAGCCGAGAAGCGACGCTCAACGTCAGAACCGCCCAGCATACGCACATAGATCGGAAATAGCTCATTCACCAAAGCACGGCGATGCTTCAGAACACGCTCAGTGCTCTGTGTGAGAAGTCCTACTATTTTGTTCAATTCTTCTTCACATGCCGCATACCGTGGCGACGACATTGCCTTCTCCAGACAGGCACCCAGACTAACAAAAACATTCTCACGTAACTCCACCATCATGCCAAGATTTCTGGCAGTCAAGACATTGTACGCCGCATTCAAGGTGGCGGTAGTGGCACCAGACGAGGACCCCTCCGCCATGGCCGCCAAGCGCGCCTCTAAAAAAGCCCCCAAGTAGCACGTCAAGCTTGCTGCACACCGCTGCACGTAGGAATCCTTGTCCCGCACAACGCTATCGATGCAACCAATGAGCTTATTCGAAAAAAATCTCAAAAGCAGTTTCTCATCCATGCATCCTAGCAGGACAATGTACAACAACATTTTGCCTTTCACAGCGACAGAGGCGTAGTCGCATCCCGTGCATAGCCCGCTTACCACCGCCCCTGCGACACTGCTAATACGTTCAATGAGGTCTGTTCCCTGTTCTCGCGAAAGACGGGAGCTAGAAAAGATGTTTACCGCTTCCTTTCCCCACTGTTCCATAATGGGGTTCCGTACTGCCACAAGACTTTTTACAATCGCCATGTTAATAAATGTCAACAACGACTGCGCCGTTTTCGGCGCCGTCGCATCCGCGAGTACCTCACCGTACAACCTCAACTTCAGGTGTGATGACTCCAGGACCACCGGTATAAGATCCTCCCTCAGTGCGGACAACTTTAGTGCCGCACACGCCGCACTTGATCGCATGTGCTCGCTGCGACCAGACGCGGGTGGAAGCGCATAAACAGCCAACAACGCCGTCAACACCTCAGGCTTTGCAAAGATTTTGAGGGCAACAGTTGGATCACTCACCGACGCTAAATTCTCAATCGCTTTAACAGCGTAGTGCCTCAGCACGTCATCTGCATCCCCCAATACAGACAGGTATACGTTAAGTGTGGCGGTGGGGTTGAGCCCCCAAACATTTCGATCGCGTTCCCGCTGAACGGCGATGTAAATGAGAAGCTCCCCCAAACACGCTGCTAGTTTACGCTTCACCCGGGGGCTATCCTCACCGCCGTAGACCTCAATGATGGAGGAGAGAATGTTCGCCTTGGCAAGATCAGTGTGAATAAATGTGGCGTGACGCACGAGAATACCCATGATAGAGGCCGCCGTGGCGCGGTAGTTCGAAGGCGCCTTCCGCTGTGCCACCATCTTAAGACAAAGCACCATGATGGAGCTATTCACAATAAAATTTGCAATCGGTGCATCCATGCAGACCGTCTCAAAATAGCACAGAACATTTAACTTCTCTTCATAGCCCAGTGACGAAGAAGAAAGGGCTCGGTAGATCATCTTAATGAAGTCAGACTGCTGCTGTTCATTGAAAGTCTTTAGCTCCGCCTTCGTAGGGGGTCCAAATCCCAGTGTACCGGGGTCGTACTTTTGCTCAACAAACCGTTCAATGCGACTGTTCATCACGAGTGGACGAATGTGAGCGTCAGAGGCGTGCATCATTAATTTATCCAAGTATAAGTTTTCTAACCCGTCCACACCCACAGAGACACATGCAATGCTGCTGGCATCGGTGGCAGCGGTACGGTTATCGCTTGCCACATCAACGCCAGTTTCACTCTGGATGCCTTCCTTTTCGCGAAGAAACTGAGAAGGTGTGGCACCTACAGCAACGCCAGTTGACCCAGCCGTCAGCTGTCGTCCGTCTGCCTGAGTATCCATGCGAGATGCGGCGCCAGCGCCCTCAACCGCTGCGTCAGCCATTGCACTATGATCCTGTAAATCCACTTCCTCCGTTATCGTGGGACACTTTGAGGGCCCTCCTTCGCTGGCAAACTGCACAATAGTGTGATTACGCTTGGCATTCTCTACGGCCCACTCCACGTGTCTCTTCACTTCATCTTCAGACATTGACAAGTGACTGCTTGCACCCGCAGCTGCTCTGCGTTGCATCCAGCTCTCAAAGGCGGGCTGAGGCGGAAACGCAGTCGTGGGAAGCTGCAGCTTGCCCTCCCAGAAGTCGTGTGCAACAACATCGCTCCATGACGCGCGTCGTTGCGGATCCTTTACAAAAAGCAACTCCAATAAACTATTGAGCTCCTCTGAGAGAGTCTCGTGACGGCGAAAGGGCTCCATCATAATGTTTGTGATAAGGGAGGCGAGGTCTGAGCCGTCAAACGGCGGTTTACCGGCACCGAATTCATACAGGAGGCAGCCTAATGACCAAAGATCGGAGGCCATAGATGGGACACCCCCCTTTGTAAACAGTTCCGGTGCCATGTACAGCGGGGTGCCTACAGTTCCCTCGCCACGCACGGCGTTAAAGTCGCATGACAACCCAAAGTCGTAAAACCGCATTGTCATGGTGGAGTCCATCAGAATGTTTGACGGTTTTAAATCGCCGTAAACGACACCACGGGAGTGAATGTACATAAGGCCTTCCGCGATGTCAGTGCCAAACATCTGCACTGCCCGCCCAGAGAGTCGGCTGTGACAGTTTAACACCTGTCGCATGTCGCCACCAACGCACAATTCCGTGATGAGCCACAGGTGATTGTTTGTTTCATACCAATTGTGAAACTTGACCATGCGTCGGTGATCTGCGGAACGAAGAAAACGCACGTTTGTGAGTACGCGTTGCCGCCGGGACTTGTCAATGGAGGAGATTGCATAGTACTCAATTGTTTTTTTTCGGCGCCCCTTGTAGACGGTACTAAAACGGCCTTTACCTACCTCATCGTAAATCTGATAGTTGTTCATTGCTTGCTAGTCCCCTGCCTGGTCCTGCCTAGAACTGCAGCAACAGCAGTTATAGTAAACGTCTCTTCTCCTTCTCCTTCTCCTTCTTGTGCTTGTGCTCCGTTGGGGAGGTATGCGTGGAAAGAGCAGGACGCCTCCCCCCGATACCTCCTTCAACCCTTCATGCGGTTGTGTGAGGCGGTAAGGCAGCAATATAAAAAAAAATAAAAATGCACACCTTGTAAACGTGATTGACAGCGCCACAAACGCAACCCGGTGGCCACATGATTTATCCCCCCATACTCAACCACTCACACAAAGGCATACCCGCAGTTACAGAGGTGCCTCCGACGCAGCCATAAAAGAGAGGTAATGTGATGCAAAACATAAAGGGGAAAAACAACGCTGGGAATGAGAACTATGACCTTACATCAAAGCACATCAATCAAAGACAAAAAACAAACGCCTTTCTCATCCTCCTTCCACGACACACTAACAATCAGTCTCGGCCCTTCTGAAGCAGCATCACGATCAAACAACTTTGGCCCACTCTCTCCCCATACAATGTACCTTCCCATCACGCATGAAAGCGCAGACAGACCAGCGACTTGACTGTAACGTCGCCCAGTGTGGGCATCCGCCGTGTCCATCACTAGTACTATTCGTAGTGGTGTTTGATTGCGAATGCGCAAAATTCTCCCTCGCAGCCGAACTATTCTTCCCCATATACGCACATCGAGATAGTTCTGCATCCCCCTCGCCTCATATTCTGTGCCATTAGCGGCCCCTTCTTCCTCGCCTCTGTCCTTTCCTTCTTTGCTCACTCTTTTCTTTTTTCTACCTCTTGTGGGATTCGCTCTCTCCACTCATTCATTTCGTCTGCCGTGGTTCTCTTTTGGCCTATCTCTCCATTGCCCTTTTTTTTTCGTTCCATCCATGTGGAAGGTAAGTGTGTGGGGTCACAGTGTGCGGCCGCCCCCACTGGCCGCCGAAAAAAAAAACATATACAAGTAGGAGGTGTAAGGGCATCGTCCCACAACTTTTATTCTTTTTTTTTTATGACTACCGTGCCAGATCGTACCGCTGCTTCGCGCGCCTCACAACCTGCGTGATGTAGTGGTAGAAGAAGTCAACGTACAAGACAGTCTGCAGTACTCCTGCGCACACGGACACAACGTTCACACGGTGGAACACCCAGTACCTGTAAATCCAATGAATTAAGTAGAAAAATCGATACGCCCCCATGGCTGCCAGGTAGTGGGACGTTAGGGCCTCGTAGCGCTCCGTGTACTCCAGCAAAAAGATCTGTGGCAAAATAGCTACAGCCTCCAAGTACTGTGAAAAGGCCCACATTACATCCATTATCCATCCCTCACGGGGTTCGCCGTGAAAGAGCAATGCAAACACAACGCAGGGAATGATGAGGTAACGAATACGGAAGGTGTCATTCTCGTGATCGTAGGTAGCCTTCCACGGGCTCTTGTTGCGCATCAGGTGGCAAATATGCCACGACGTCGCCAAGAAGAAGATCTTCATCAACGTGTTGTACAGGGACAAGAAGGATGTGAACAGATCGAGGTAGCGTGTCGTGAAGACGAGCGCAAAAAGAAACTGCGTCTTAAGCGACACCCCGGCTGCCGACCGCTGCCGCAGCATCTTCCCTAACAGAATGATGATGGCAAGGAGGTGCAGCAAGTCACCGATCGTGCGTAAGACGTTCATCGCTCTCTCCCCACGTTTGGGTGTGCTGTTCTACTTGACGTTTAAAATAAAAAAAAATAAAAAAAGCAAACAGGACTTCCTCCTAGAGAGTGAGTTTTCGTCTTGCTATTCCCTCGCATGCAGCGCCCAGACACACACGTCGACACGCACGCAACGTCAAGAAGAAAAAAAAAACAAGGGAATTGGAACAACAAGGGACGTACAATTGTTTGCCTCCCTCTGCATTGAGGTCTCCTCTGTAACGGCGCGGGCCCACCGCCACCATCCCCGGTTCCCTCTTCTCACCAATGCGTCTAGCTCAGCAAATGCATCGTGTTTATATGCGCGTGCACGTTGGATGAAAAGAGAGCTGCGCCCCCTCCATGCACGCGCATATAAACACGATGTATTTGTTTTTAAAAACATCATCAACAACAAGGTAAAACAAACAACAACAACAAAAAGCGAGAGTGTGATGTGTTGGCAGAGATGCCTCCTACAAAACTTTTTCCAAAGCGAGGAGGAAGCCAAAACGAAAAAGACATCAATGTGCACACACAAAATTTAAGCTTGTTCTCTGTCCTTCTCGCCATTTCATTCCCTAAGTTTTCCTTCGAGCATGGAGGGAAGAGGGATAAGATAAAAAGTTTTCTTCCCCCTTCTGCTCCTTCTTCCCACAACACACACACGCACACACACACTCAGATTCATCTGCTCAATATTCCTCTTTCTTCTCCCTCCCCCTTTTCCTGCCTGATGTGCATGGCCAAAACAACAATGAATGGTGACAGGTCAGGATGCAAGAGTCATTCCTTCTTTATGTTTCGCGTTGGCACAAGCAACGGGTTCAGCTGTGCCATATAGATAAGAACCCATGACAGCCAGCAGCAGAAGGCGGCAGTGAAGCAAAGTATACGGACAAGCTCCAGCTGACTCTTCGCCCACAACGGCGCACTAAGTGCACCAAGGCTCCCTAAGGCAACAAAAAAAAGTGTCCCCAGGATGATGCCCATTCTATGCCTCTCCAATAGCGCCTGCAAGCGGCCACTACTTAAGAATAAGGACAACTATTGTCGTCCGAACAGTAGTATGTCAAAAACAGTGCAGGCCACTCCCCACCCACCTTTTCAACTAACTTTTTTCCTCCTTGTTGTGGTGCTGGTGTTAATGCTGGTGCTGGCTTTGATTGCTGTGGTGATTCCCCCCTTTCCCTTACACAGAGCGGTGGGAAGAAGCCAAGGATGAAGGATGTCAGCAGCAGCAAGAGCAACAGCGAGGGAATCAAGCCAAAGGAAATAGAAAGCAAAAAAAAAAAAACGGAAAACGTTGACAGAAGTGCTCAAATGAGGGATTATTGAAGTGAGAACGACACAGGCCGCCTCTTCAGTCCCACAGGTAGTGATAAGTACTCATGCGCACAGATTCATACAACTAAGTCCCGGGCGGGAGGAGTTCACAGGCACGCTCCCAGCCCTGCGACGAGGTACATTCCCGCCACATGCTGGCCGTCTCATTCGCACACGACACGAGTAGAAATGTACCCACAAGCGACCAGGAAAGCTTTGTCACACCATCCTCCTGCTGTGGCAGCATCATGCGGTTCCATTCCCCACGTGCCGCTCCGTCCTGCGACCAGACCACCACAAACCCTTCGTCAGACCCAGCTGCAATGTAAGTGAAAGGCATGCCCACCCCAGGCGCCCACGCCACCTCCCGCCAAGACGCCTCCACATCTAGTGAAAGTTCTTGTGGCTTCCATTCCTCACCACAGAGGGTCCAGACGGTCACGCTTCGATCGCCTCCGCAAGTGACAATACGGGGCGGAGCGAGCGGCACACCACCCGGCGGAAGTGAAGTAGCTCCCGTCAACTCGCTCTCCAGTGGCGCCATCAGGAGCATGCCAGGGGGCAATGAAGGCGCCCATGACAGAGAGCAGCAGCCGTTCGGGTGTGCAGTAAACTCTGTGTGGCTCCACTCCTGGTCTCGTCCAACGAACATCATAACAGACCCGCTCGCACAGCCAACAGTGAACATCTTTCCATACTCTGGCGGTGCCCACGCCGCGCACCAAGGCATGGATCCAATTGTCGCGAAGTATATCTTTGCCCATCCCTGCGAATCACCAAGGTCGCTCCAAAGAATTACCTGAGAATCCTCCCCGCACGACAGCAGAGTTGACGAATAGTGCGCGGGTGGTGCCCAAGCCACACACACGACGGCCCCGGTATGTCCCTCCAACACAACTAGGAGATCCCATTTATCTTGTGAGACGTTATTTAAGGCAAATACGCGAATCACGCCATCCTCACCACATGAAGCAAGTCGCTTCCCGGACGCATCCACCGCGGTGTCTGTGATAGGACCCGAGTGTCCCGTGTCTAATATCGCGTCAGAAACCATTTTACTAAACCTGCTACGAGGCCCAACTGGTTCACTATTTTAATACTATCTATGGACCCTCTCTACGTGCGTGAGAAAGCAAAAAAAAAAAAAGACGAAAAGACATGTACCACGCAAAGAATACCAATAATGATTCTCTCTCTCTCTCCCCAGGCAACAAAAGAATAGCGTCTTTCTGGCACCGCATTTGAGAAAAGCTTTGTGGTCAAACCCATTGATAGTAATAATAATAACACGAGAGTAACTCCACAATATCTATACACTTGGATAGACATCTTGGAACAGTTCTCTCGCACTCAGACATACATAAAGAGAGAAACAAAAAAACAAAAAAGAAACAGACGGTAAAAACCACATCTTCGCCCCCGCCTCCACCACCCATAGAGGCTCAATCACGGCACCATGAGTGACTTCCGTCTTTACCCCATCACAATAGCCCACCGCCGCCTCGACAAAATAACATGTTTCTGAATATACAACCAAAAACGGTCATACGTCCGCCAGCCCGCCATATCAACGCCCACCAGAGCCACAAAAACAACAACAGCGGCGATGACTGACCAAAACGACTGGTACGCGGAAGTCAAAGTTTCCGCCAAAAGCCACTGTCTTCCTTTTAAGACAGTATAGTTCGGAATACACAACAAAAGTAAAAACAGTCCGCAGTGCAAAATCACATAATCGCATGAAAAAAGAACGAGCGCAATATTGTGCCTGCACCACGAAAACTGCGTCGCCTCGTGCCAATCTCCAAGGTATAGTCGCGTTGCCTTCACACAAATGAGTTTGGGGTGCATCTCAATAAGTGTGTTGAGAGCCTGAACAGATAACTCATTCTTCCAATTCCGTGGTGTGTCATTCAAGGAAAAGCCATCTAAAACGTCTAGACTCCTGCATGCCATCAGCACCCGGTGAATTGCTGTGGCATCATTCCATCCCTCCAGTGTGAGTGTGGGCAGCTGCGTGCAACGCTGCAGGTAAGGCACCAAATACAACGCCATTGGCTGGCAAAAGCGAGAAAGATAAATGTATTCAACACCAGGATTCCAACGAAAAGGGGGTCCAATCAGCTTTGCATCCAACGTCATCAAAACGCTCCAAATTATAGGAGGTAGGCACAACAATGCCCCTGCAACCTCATTCCGAGCCAAACTCGCAAATCCCACGTGAGCGACTGCGGTAAGAAGGAAGAAAGTACGTCGTGTTCACGATACACGTAGGCTGCTCTGGTAAGCCAAACAGGGACGGATGGGCCGCAGCATAGCCGAGAAGTACCTGAATATCATTTAGGCTCCACCTGTGCGGCGGCATAACACCAAAATAATAATAATCCACAGTATACGGGCATGTGACTTGTCAGCGCACGACACTCAAAAAAAGGATTAAAGAACTTCGGCCGCCAGCGCCGTGGTTCCATGGCATTACTGCTCTCTTAAGGAACACATTTGGAGGGAAGGGGAGGGGGAAAATACATCAAACACTGCAGCATCGTACCGCAGTAAATATCCCACGTTGGGGAAAAAAAATGGGAGCAAGGTACAGAAACGGCTGCCCCACCAAAAATTATGGACAAAGAATTATACGAACACAGAGTTGTTTTTTGCCGCACGAGAGGCAACCACGGGCGCACGGGATCGTCAGCCCTTTCAGCGAGCGCCAAGGCGACAACTGGTAAGAGCACCCGCACTTCATCATGGACCCAAAACAAGGCATCGTGACAATGTGGCCGCCAGCAACAATACCCCTGCTTCGATGCCACAAGGTGGCAAACAAATAACAAAATAATTATGACAATAAACAGAGCAGCACCCAATAACAACAACAACACCAAAACCCAAAGATAAAACAAAACACATTTTGCAAACAACTTTTCACATGAGTCCCTCCACCAGCTGCCTGCAGTATTCACCACGGCCCTCATCACATGCTTCGGAAGGGTAAAAAATGAAGGGCCAGCGCAACCCCTCGCCGCAGTGCTACGATCTGTGGGAGCTCAAACGAATTGCGCAGGACAATTTTGTCCCGCAGCTCTTCCACTCTCGCGTAAAGTCAAGACGCTTCCAAGCGGCACCTGCTCCCGGCCACCGCGCACGCACATCATTGACAAAGGAGATGGCCTCCCAAAGGAATACACACCCTTCCCTCCGACTATTATCCCTGAAGCCTCATTATGAATAAGAAGAAATAAAAAAAAAAAGTTCCAACATTCATTACTCACATACATTCTCCATTGGATTAAGGACCGCACCACTAAATCATGCACAGACAAAAAAAAAAACAACAACAACAACAACTTTCCTCCCCCGCAAATTTAACTGTTGCTTGTATGCCGCATCACTTTAGTGGAGAAAAAGAGATGTTATTCGACCCCATCAACATCAGCAGAGCCCAAAAGCCTCGCAGGATCATGATGCCGCGTCGGTGGGGAGTTGTTGATGTCTGCGGGAAACGAAGATTCCTCAGAAGTGAGTTGCTCACCGTGATCCCGGGGAGCGGGGATGCTCTGAAGCAAAGTGTCACCCACACAAACCGTCACCGCTCTCGGTGGAAAATTATTTTCGTCCTCCCCAAGACTCACTGTACCTCGCGTGTGGCATTCTATTTCGTGGTCGTGCTCAAGCAGCAGGGTTTCCATAGCCTCAAAGTTCTTTCCGTAGATCAGTTGGATAGGCGTTTTATCAAACAAATTCCTTGTGGACGCATGCCACCCCCACTTCAACAGCCGTCGTGCAGCCTCGAGTTGGTTGTTAAGAGCGGCAAAATGGAGGGCCGTATTACCCTCGTGATTCGGCACGTCCGGCGAGGGACCGAACTCCATGAGCATCTCCAAAATCCCTATGTGGCCATTCGCAGCCGCGAGATGAACCGCAGTGCGACCCTGCTCATCCCTTGCATCAATGAGCGAAGGTGTGGTGGCGAGGTACGCGAACAGTTGCTTCGCGTCATCACCATCGTTATATCGGGCGCAATCCAAAAACGCGTCGGTGATGGTTTCCGCCGCGCGATACTCATCTTCTTCCACAACTGTGGCTGCTGCTGTCGCCGACGCCATTTCCGCTTCACCAGAGAAAGGTCCCAACACAGCAACGACTAGAAGGAAAAAAAAAGGAGAAACAGAACACCACTACCGCGCCACTAGCGGAAGAAGACAGCCAGCTCTGTACAATCCATGAGAATACAGAAACTACCAACAGGAGCAAAAACGAATAACTAAGATGAACAAAATGGAAGACATAAATAAAGCAAGGATCATTGAAGAAAGAAGCAATTTAAAAAATGATCAGGTGTCATAAAGTGGGACACACACACACACACAGAAGCCCACATATATGCGAAGACGTTGAGGAAGCGTGGCATGAAACTCCCCCCTGCCCCCTGCACCCACGCATCACTCCTTTCGTATTCACTTTTTTTTTTCTTCCAATGCCTTTTTTTGTCATTTTCTGCCCTCTTCTATGTATACGCTTATTGACTAGCTACATATTGATCTTAATTGTGGGCAGGACAAAAAAAAAACAAATGAGGTGAGGGACAAAAAAAAAAAGAGGCGGCACCCACTGCACTTTTCAGTGAAAAACTTCCTTGCTCTTGTCCATGAGGCGTGAAAAAGTTCGAGGCAAGACACCACACACACTGCCAAGGGAAAGCCGTGAGGAACTTGAAAAAACAAAGGGAAAAATAGGTGCGTGAGTGACCAGAAAAAAAAAAAAATAAAACACAAGAATGAACGGCTGACGGGAGATGCAACGTCACAAATAAAAATAATATATGAGAGAAAAGTCTGCAAAGAACCAACGCAACAAAAAACATTTGGAAGTTTTTTTTTGTTTTTGTTTTTGTTTTTAAAGAGCAAAAAAATGGCATTTCACACGAGAAGATATGGTTCGGCCTCCCACAAGAGTTGTAACCAGTTGGGCACGACCCAGAGAAGACACATCACCCACAAAGTGTGGCAAACAAAAGAGGTGAATATGATAACACACATAAATGAGCAGTGGAGGGCAGTTGACTAACCCGTCCGCGCTTATCACTCATGTGCCTCTCAGTACGGAAATTATCTGCGCATGCGCATAAACTCCAACGCGCACGTGCTCATTCTCGCATCGCCGACTTTATTACAAGTACCGCTCTTGTTATAGTTGATATATTTACCCCATGTTTCTTTATCAGACCCAATATCCTGCGTTTTTCAAGTTCCTTCGTCCTGTATCTTATCTTCCTTTCATTTACGCTCTTTCCGCCCCTCCCACTAGGAGTCTGCATAGCTCCTTGTCCCGTGCCGTACTCCACGTCATGCATCCACCTTTATCATTCCTATGTGTGCACAAAAAGCACCGTCCCGTCCCTCTCTCCAGGTTCCCCCACGCTGCATCGCTTCCCTCGTTCCACAATTCGCTTTTCGTATATACATATATATATATATATATATACTTTAACCTTCCCCTGTTCCTTTCCTCATCACTCAAACCTTGCTCATAATCCTTCCTGCGGTGCTTTCCTTTTCGCCGTAGGCCCTTCGCTTGCTCCTTTTCATCAAAACCACTCAGCTTCTCTGCCGCATCCTCTTCCTCTATGCGCGTCACTCCCCTAAGTTTTTTTTTCTACCTCAACTCCCTCTCGTCCAGATTACATCTATCACATCTTCCCTCATTCTATTGATAGAACTTGGGTTTCTTCACAGAAGGCTTGAGAATCTGAAATGAGCATAGAAGGTCCGCGTCCACCGACATGACCGCACCACTGTTATCAAATTCATTACAATAGTTGGGGGCGGAAAAAATAGTTATGAGTTGCCGTTTCGCGAAGAATTGATAGCCATCCTCCACTACTTGATGTGCACGGACGATAAGGTCAAACTCATGCTTCCGAAGAAACTTCTCTACGATATCTTGACCAAATGTATAGGAGACGCCGCGGTCATTCTCACCCCAGCCAGAAAGGCCCTCCTCAGGGTCGGACCACAGCAAGTCACAGATGAGACCCGCGTCCGTGACATCGCAAGGTCGTGCAATCCTCTTGATCTGGTCCATGGTTTGCAGCTCTGGAGAAAGACCGCCGTGACAGCAAAATATTTTGTCGTCAATGATGCAGGCAACAGGAAGGCAATTAAACGTGTCTGTAAAGGCTTTCCAGAGACGGATGTTGTAGCGCCGTTTGCATTCGTCAAAAAAGCCATAGATGCGATTAATGCTTGCACACTCATGATTACCGCGGAGCACAAAAAAGTTCTCCGGGAACTTGACCTTAAATGCGAGTACGAGGCAGATGGTTTCCAGACCTTGTTTGCCGCGGTCTACGTAGTCGCCAAGGAAGAGGTAATTGGCTGAAGGTGGAAAGCCGCCGTTGTCAAATAGACGGAGGAGGTCGTAGTATTGCCCGTGAATGTCCCCACATATTTTAATAGGGGCCTCAAGCTCCAAAAGGGCGGGCTGCGCCAGAAGAACCTCCCGGCTTCGCAGTGCAAGGTTTTTGACGTCATTCTCGGCTAAATTGACTTGTTTTCCCGGCTTTGACATGCGGACTGCCAGAAGTTTGTCAATGATGGCATCCACGTCTAGAGACATAGCAAACACCTCTATATCCTCCGCCTCGTTGTAATGTCCCCTCTTGTGACCCCTGCGGCTTATTCCCTAATACAACTTTGCTGTTTTTGCCGTTGTGTGTCGTTTTGCGCGCTTTGCTCGTTACTCTGCCCACTTTTTCTTCCTCGTCGTTGTGTGCCTATAAACTCCCTCTCTCCCTCGCCCTGGCACACGCGCACACACTAAGAGATACAGAGAAAACACGCGTGCTGTCCCTTCTCGCTTCCTTCTCCTAATCCTCTTCGATCTACCTCCTTCACCTTGGACCTATGAACGCGAAGGCACGATGACCCTTCTCAAAGCAAAAAAAAACGGCGCCTGTCCCACGGTTCCTGTTTTCTCTTCCTTGCGCTGGCGCTTTTTCTTCTACTCTCGCCCTCTTTCTCCCTCTCTCCCCCTTTTATTCCACTTTAAATAATAGACGGGAACTGGAGATGCTTGCTTGTCGCTGTCCACACCTGTTCTAGCAGTTGGTGGGTGTTTGCTCGTCTGCGGACACTAAGGCGGGTGACTTTGCTTACTCCAAAAAAAAAAAAGAAAAAAAACTGTAGACTACTCAACAAAGACGCGACAAGATGTGGGGGAAAAAAGGAGGGGGAAAGGACGAGTGAAGGAGAGAAAATGCGCACGGTCATGCTTTTAGCCGTGCACAGCAGCAGAGAGGCATGGAAGTGTGTCGAGCCTACACGCGCGTCTGTGTTTTCCCCGCGTCCTCATTCTGGGAGATGACACAACCATTTCTGTCACTTCTGTGCTTTGCACCCGCGGTTCCGGGCATGGCAATGGATGCTCCCTGGGCGCCGTGACTCCCGTGTGGGCAAAGTCATCTCAGGCACATAAAGTAAGAAAAAACAACAACATATAAACGGTCACAAAAAACGACTCACACAAATGCACAACGAGAGTGGTTGGATGCTCTCTCTCTCTCTCTCTCATACACACACTCCATCTCATTCGCTTGCAGCATTACTCCTTCACTCATGTGCGCTCCGGTTGTCCACCCCAGACGGAAAGAGGGAATGAAGAACCCAAGTACTCCTTTCAACCCGCATCCCAACTACGCAGTTCCGTCCACGCCGCCTGCCTCCTCCCTATCCTCGTCGCTGCTCATGTCACCTGTGACACAGCGCTCCAGCGTGACCGCGGATGTTCCATGCAGGCTCACCGCAAATCGCAATGGAGGCGTGGGTGCAGGCCACTCCGCCTCGTAGTTCTTCACGGTGCCACACAGGAACGCAATTTTCGCTTTGGGGCCTGGCACAAACACCACACGCACCGTGATAACGTCATGATTCTTAAATCCCGTCCCCGACACGTATGTCTTCTCCTCATCAAAGCACTGTACAAGCTCACCTGTGTTACAGTACGCAATGGAGTGCGGCTGACCTTGCAGCGGCTCATTCTCAAGCGGCGATTCTGTGCCGATGAGGCCAACTGATACCAGCTCACACTTGTCGACACGCAGAATAAAAATGGACTTCCCTCTTGCTGGCAACGGCTCCCTGCCGCAAATGCCGAGGATGTTCTCCGTGCTGAAGTGCATGCTATCTTGCGAAACGCCTGGACCACTCACAAATCGCCACCGCGCTGGAGGGTCGATCAGAGCGCGCAGCCTTTCAATACGGTAGAATTCAGCGTCCTCTGCCAAAAAAACAACTTTTTCAGTGGCAATGGGCAGCTCATAGCCGCGCAGGTAATTGATGATGTGTCGAAAGTTCTCGGGGTCGCGGTCCACAAATGGATTTCCCTTGGGGTCACGGGGGAGACCCGCGAAGTCGCTGTCTACCCACTCTGACAATAGCGACGGCTCCGCGCACAGCGTGCTGGCCAACGTCGTGATGCAGCTACCACCCACATTGACACAAATGCGTGTGTCGGTTAGGAAGGGAGGGGGAACCAACGACGATTGCCCATCAGGCCCGGCATCCTCGTTTTCGCCGGTCTCACGCACTCTTGCTGCTTGGCCAACGTCATTTCCTTTACGAAATCGTTTTAAGGGGGGTTCCCCCTCCATACGCCTTTTGTTCCCTCTTGTGCGGCAAAAAAGGAGACGCGATGATAGTGAAAACACGCGGGACAATGCCAAGTCCGCTTGCACAAGCTAACCCCTCCAACGTCATTAAATAAACAATAGATATGTATCATCTCCAAAGGGATACTCGTCGCAACGGTGGTTATATCTGTATAGCCAGGGATACGCAAGCGGTTCTGCAAAGTTGGTGTGCATATTTAAAGATCGTCTGCCAACTGCAAGCAATCTTCATCACTGTCAACACCAGAAGGAATGGCAGAAACTTTAGGTGTGGGGTTTGCAGCGACTGGCGTGACAGACCCAAGACAGGCCTCGCGCGGTCTCTTGTGAGTTACCCCACGAGCCGTGTCCTGGCACCCGTTGGACATGTATTCTTCTTGGTGAGGCGGAAGATCTGTGAACGGAGATGCTGACGACGCAAACCCCACGGCAGTATTTTGACCGCTCTCTGGTGGTCCCTCCGGTAGCATAAGGGCGACGAGGTGCTCCAAGCAGACAATTAGAACCGGCTGCATCAGTGTCGGTGTGACAAGCACAGTGACATCACGAAGCAGGAGCAGCGCCCCTGAGGCCAAGACATCGGGGTACCGACTCGATACAGCACCGTGGATGGCGCAGTGCACCGTACCTGTTGCATCCCGCAGCAGCACTGTACAATCCTGCGCGGACTCCGCCACAATTTTTTCAAGAAGACCACCGCAGCAAGCCACTTTCTGTGATGTAAGCAGAGCGTTAACTTGGCACAGCGATGTCAACGTGTAGCCCTTTGCCGATGCTTCTCGTTGCAGCAACAGCTGATAGTCCATGCAATACACCTGTCTGCTACGCCTGGGGCCGGTCCGCCCGCCCGCCTACCCTTCTTCTTCTGCTTTGTCTCCTCTCTCTTCGTGCCCCTGCCGTGCATCCTACCAAAAAAAAAAAAAAAGATACAAAGAAACGCTCAACTCACAAAACAACACTAAACCAACAACAATAACAATCCACAGCCATCATTGACACTACGCAGAAATAGGGAGAGTGTGCGTAACAATAAAAACAAAAAATAGAACGTGCGAGAATGTTTGTTTTCCTCTGATTTTGTCTTTGCTGTTGCTGCTGCTTCCCCTCAAACTGCTGTGGTTATCGAAGACCGTGCATGATGGGCTCCCACACCCCATCAAGAATGCGCCATTCGCAGAATCCTCAGGCATTTGGCAACCGTTTCCCTTTTTCTCCTTTATTTCTTTTACTTTTTCCCATTTTGTACGCAATGCTCTCCTCTCCTCATCTCTTCACCCTCTTCACTTTTCTAGATGCAAGCGTACGGACAGATGCCGCCTTACACAAGTTACTGAGTGTACAGTGCAAAAAGGGCGGCTGCAGCAAGACTCAAGCGAACACAGCAGAAGGTCCACCTGTCGATTGACGCATTGCTGCACAGCGCGCACATTATGGAGTGCACAAAAAGTGAGAGGCCGAGCACAAATGCGGGGTAAAAACCCGACACAAGACCCACGATTGCCGCTATAGCAAACAACGCCATAAACGCTGATTCGACCGGCGAAAGTGACGTTCGCCCCTCAGAAGCACGAGCAAGGGCTATGAGATGTCGTAGCTCTTCTTCCTCTATTGCATCCCGCGTGTGACGGTGTAAACTCATTCTTTTTACATGCTCCAGGGTCAACGCATCACGCTCCTCCTGCTCACTCTGTGCAAATGCCTCAATGATGGATTTGGCAAACCAAGCAACCGCGGTCACCACAAACCAATGCATAAGCATCATAACGAGCGAATCTCCTTCCTCCTCCACATCATTTTTTTCAGTTCCTCTTGCTCTGGCTGCAATCGTTTCCCGTGCTTTTAATATTGGGACAATAGACATCTCTACTATTTCCTTGGTGCTCTTCGAACTGATGGATGCGGGAAGGACCAAAAACTTACCCACCGCACTTCCCACGAAACGTATGATGCGTTCAATATTGTCGCCGGAAAAGAGCAAGACAAAAAAAACAGCTTGCATATTAACCTTAATCAACGCTTTACCAATAAACGTTGCTCCAAAAAAAGTCCAAAACGGCATAAGGAAATGCCCACATGCCATTCCACAAAGGTCAAAGGCCATATTGGGCCAGGCAGCAAGAAGAAGGATGGCCCAGAAACCGTAGCGTTGAATTTTATTCAATGTCCATATCTTCATATGATTCAGTACATCATACTTTGAGACCTCGTCCAGCTCCGCGTGTCGCTTGCCTTGTCGAGCGGCTGCATAGCTCAAGGCGTAGGGTGGAATCTCCCCGATTGCTGTTCCCGCACCCCAAAAAACACACGCGGGAACCACCTTCAATAAACGTGCCAAAGTCGAGGGAGCGGATGTGCCAGGATGGGGCGTGACGCACATAAATGTGCGATCGCGTGGACCATAAAAACGATTGACAGGGTAGGTCCAGTAGTTGGTGTTACCACAATAATCTGCGGAGGAACAGGCAAGATAAATATGTGGAAAAAGGAAGAGCAATCCTGAATGCATCCCTGTACCCAAGCCAACAGAAGAAAGTATACCAAGCACCAACCACCATATGGCATCAGCAAGCAGATACTCCACCTCTCGCCATGTTCCTTGACTAAAAAAGGCATCCCGCCGCAGCACATCGCCTTGACCTTCCTCCCACCACCCCACAAACTGGGCCTTATTGAGGCGAGAAGCATTGTTAGGAAAGGTAGCTTGTGCCTTTTGTGCGATACCCGTGGAATGGCCTAACACCCGGGTGTAGTAGACCTCTAAATCCTCGGGTGAGACGAGACCATCTTTGTCTGCGTCAAGAGCGACAAACGCATGACCAGCAGGAGAATCGACCCAAAAAAGGGACATTGCAGTTATTAAGAGCAAGACAGGAACGGCTACCTGAAGCACAGACGGCGTTAAATGTGCTGTCACATAGCGGGTGATGTACTTCACGCACATGACAAGAGACAATCGAAGCACTCTTAGCGGCTGGCGTAGAAGGTTAATTTCTTCTCGTTCATTAGCCAAAATAGCCTCAGCGCGCTCCATTGACAAAAATATAGCTTCTGTTTCCTTTCCCATCCCTTAAATGAATTATGGCTCCCCATTTGTATCCCCACGTGGGATAAAAAAAAAAAAGAGAGAGAGAAGGAAAAGAGAAAGAAAGTGAAAAATAGAGGGATCAACAACGACAAGGATACGTCCAGAAGACATCCCAATATTGGGCTACCAAGCCCAACGACAACAACAATTGTCATTTCCAAAACAGGGTGGTGCATCAAACTTAACCGTGGAATTACCTTCAAGTGTGTGCATGTATATAGCACCCTCCTTTTCTTCTTCGGCTTCTTCATCTTTGTCTTTCCCCCCTCTCTCTTTCTCTCTCTCTCTCTCTTTCATGCTTAACTACTTAGCGTAATTCTATTATTATAACTTTCCTCTTCCTTCTCCTCTCCACAGCATTACATACACAATAAAAAAAAGACAAAAATGAAAGGCCACCCCAACCACACACTGACACAACCCAAATATTGAGCTTCTTGGTCTCTTGCCTCTTCATGTTCGCCCAGACAAATTGTTCCGCTAAAACCGAACACTCTGAGTGACCTTCGACTTAATGGAGGGCACACCAATGAACCCGCCTTCAGGCTCAGGCTGGAAGCTGCGGGTCTGGGCCTTGTGAATGCGCATGCCCTTCTCGTACTTGCGCCGCTGCGCCGTGCGAGGTGTCTTGCGGTCCTTGGGACGA